CTAAACCGTAAAACATTAGAAAATAAACAAAATAGTATCGGGAAGATATCGTTGAAATAAACATATTTGGTAGGCAAACTATTACCAAAGGTATGTGCATTTGCATGGAACATAGGTTGGAAATAGGACCCCTCCCATTACCATACTATTGTCTTGTGTAATGTACACAGTGACTCATAAACAAGTGTCAAAGTTATTTGATGCATTAGATTTTGCACAGTCTAACTCTGACACTTGTTTATGAGTCACTGTGTACATTACACAAGACAATAGTATGGTAATGGGAGGGGTCCTATTTCCAACCTATGTTCCATGCAAATGCACATACCTTTGGTAATAGTTTGCCTACCAAATATGAGTTGTCACATTCAGAATCTAATGCATCAAGTGCCTTTAATTGCTACATGCTCAATATGGACTGCATCAGCTATACTTTACGTCATGTATATCATCTTGTGTCCCAGGCGATCCCTGTATGGTGACAATGCCATCACAGTGGAGGTGAAACCCTACATCAAGCTCCTGTTTTATCAGGTACAATATATTGTCATGAAATATTTCCATCATTGTATTCTCTTTGATGTGTATACTCTGGAATTAGAGTCAAATATAATGCTAGTCTGACTAAGAATTCCTGTTACATGCTGATATTTTAGAATCAGAGCTCAAAATACTTTTTTTCAGGTACGTGCAAAATTTCACATTGGCAAGAATTTTAGGTGCAAATTGAAAAATTTAATGTGTGCAAAATTATATGGTGAAGATTAAAAAAAAAGTTACTTAAGTAACTGGATATAATTTTGGAAATTTTCAGACATTTCAGGTAGCTTCCCACTACAATGTACCTTTCGTCAGTGACACTAAAGAGTCGGTCACAACCCGCCGTACGTGCTTTTTTTTTTAGCCCACGTCTGCTACGTTTTTCTGAAAATTTAGGGTGACCAGCAGAGAAAGTACATCACTCGCACGGTTGCGCAAAGTGTAACCCGGAAGTACTATGTGGTCTGCACGCCACGCCTGGCCGTGAGCGGTTGTGTGTATTGTTCGTTGCGCAGGTGGAAAGTGAGTTGTACGTGCTTACGTGCTTCGTTTTGTAAATTTTAACACCCCAATTCAGCCTATGGGCTGCGAGATGTGTTTGACATGTTTAACTTATGGATTGTATGTATGTATGAACAAAATAAACCATTACTTTTTTTACAACCTACGATCTCTGTACGATTGCCACATTACCGCGTGCCAGCCGTACCTACACGTCCTGCTTGCGTACGGTTTCCTTACTCGCATGTTATAAGTGTGTGCAGGTGCGATGAACCATCTGATTCTTCTTCCCTCCTCCTGTCATCTTGCTCACTAGCCGCCCTATTGTCTTCCACGGCCCGTTTCTTTGGGTCTTGTCTGGTTGTAGCTGCAGATGCCTTCTTCTGTGCCTTGTTGCGCATGTTGGAGATGGGTTGGCAGTCTTCCGTCAAATCGTCTTTGTATACTGAAGAAATCAGGTGCGTTTCACGTGCGTGGTACGTGCGGAGCACCTAGTACGATGCACGTGTGTTCTGCCTAGTCATTGAGCAGGTGAACTGGGAAGTGCGAAGTAAGCACGGAACACGCAACCAAAGTGCGCCACACATGGTACGTGCGCTCTACTTACAACAATTGCCCGTGAGAACAGTTCACGGGGTCAGTGTGTTGCACACGCGTCGCCTGTAATCGCACTTATGGGTGGTGAATCCGCAGACTGCATGTAGAAAAAGTTTTACATGCACTTTAACTTCTACGGCGTGTCTGCATGCTCCCAAATCCCTAGCATTCCATACAGAGGCGGTACTCACCACTTACGGATCCCCTATATTTGCCCACGTTGACAGCATGTAGACAGCATGCAGATGCATGTACGGCGGGTGTTTACTGACGCTTAAAAGATCACAGGAGAATGGCAGGTTTATAAGCATTATTGATTGATATGCAAATAAGTGAAGACAATTCTTTTGGAAGTCTGAAAGGAAACAAAAGTTAGAAAAGCCAAGACAAGGATGAGGCAAATCAGTCAAAAAGCTCCTGTTGTTTCAAAAAAGGAGCACAAGTGTTGTCTATCCTAGGAGCTGGGAGCTTCTTTGCCTTCATGCCCCCTCCTGCTCTAGGTGCAAAATTGCACATTCCAAATATTTCTAGAATGCAAATCTTGAAAATCATGTGCATTTTGCACATTGCACATGGGTATTTTGAGCCCTGTAGAATAGTAATAATATGCCACATACCGGTATGTACATGTTATATTTTCTCTATGATCCTGGGGATACAGAAATATTATAATTTGAAAACACCCGGTGGTGTTGTGTTGATCACATTACAGAGGGTATAGCACAAATCTCCGGTGGCATGAGCAGACTGGAAGCATGGGAAACTTATGCATGACTTTGCTGTCTTTGAATGTAATTTTGCATATCAAAGCTTTTTAAACAGTGTCCTAACAACTTGAGCCACTTAAGTTCCAATTCTAGGGATAGAATGTGATGTTGCATTTAGTACATCTCCCTCAATACACCATAATTGTAAAAACAAAGAATACACGTACAAGGCTAATAAACTTGAAGGTGAACTGATGTAACATCTGCTCCCTATATATAATATTGTGATCATAATATTCATAATACTTATGAAAAAAAGTGATGTATACAGTCATCTTCTTTCTTAATGCCAGAGAAATTAAAATTTGTTTCAGAATGTATGTGGAGCTGGGCACATGATATTCCTAACTCACAAACATTTTGTTGTGTTGTCTTCAGGTGCTGAACCCATTTTACATATTCCAGCTGTTCAGTGTTTGCCTGTGGATGTCAGACGAGTACTACTATTACGCTTCTGCTATCATTATCATGTCTTTAGGCTCGATTGGCATTTCACTCTACACTATACGCAAGGTAAGGTGGCTTTTAGTTTTGAGAAGTGTTGTGTTATTGTTTCTTTTCACTTTGCAAAACTGCATGATTTTTCTGTTCACTGACTGATGGTGTGAACTTCATTCTTATTGTTACAAAGCAAAGTGAAATGCTACATCAAATGGTGGAGTCCCACAATACCATGCTGGTCAAAGTCTGTCGCGATGGAGAAGGTAAAAGTATTTTCAATACATTTTTTTACAGTTTTCATGCTTGTAACAATATTATATTTATCCAATAATTCCATAATGATGGAAATTTTATACAAATCAGGATTCATCTGCATGTTTTTGATAAGTTTGTCAATAATAAGAAGAGATGATGGGACTTAGGCATGATTTCAATAGTTGACAATGTTATGTACTATCATAAATGTCATGATGTTTAGAGCAGGTAAGTAAAACAACAATAAGACTGCTTCATAACCTTGTTTTTCTTGTATTTCCACTGTTCCCAGTCTGCTCAGAAGTCACCTCTACTGACCTTGTACCTGGGGATGTTCTTGTCATCCCTGCCAACGGGATGTTGCTGCCCTGTGACGCTGCACTCATCACAGGCAACTGTATTGTCAATGAGAGCATGCTTACAGGTCATTGGAGACTTTGTACCTGTCTCATAATTTTATTTCAAATGTCATATCTGGATCGCAATAACATTTGATATGGGTTTTCCTGCCCATGTGATAACTTAAGAGGTATCACACGGGGATCTGTTTGATAACCACACAGGCACCATATGTTCCATACTATAATACTTCAAACATGTTTTGCCTGCTGCATGCACTGCTTTAGAAAATAGGAATACTGAATTTGGACGTTAGAGTTGATATCGATGTTGTAGCAATTTTTTGTTTAGGGACATTAAATTTTGGCATTTTTCACATTCATGTGTTTCCTTGGGTGGGTATGACATAAATAGAATACAAAATGGAGCATTCTACCAAATACACCATGTTGCATTCTACATTTTATTTACATGTATTCAACGAAGAGGTCTTTTACGTGTACGTGATATTCTCAGTGCAAATAAACTCTAAGGTTTTGCCAATGAGCAATGGCACGATGTTACTTATTTTTCTTTGATAAGGCCACACCAATTTAATTTCTTGGTTAACAGATTTTGGGCCATAATAGGATGCCTGGGCCTGTTTTTATTTTTATTTTTTTTTTCGCCCGCCTGCTCCATTATTTTTGTAGAAAAATCCGTTAACCAAGAAATTAAATTGGTGTGGCCTAAGTATGATTGAATTTTTTGATCCCCCTGACAGGAGAGAGTGTACCTGTCACAAAGACACCAGTGCCTCCCCAGAGTAGTGATCTGTACTCACCGGAGGTACACCAGCGCCACACCCTGTTCTGTGGTACCCAGGTCATCCAGACCAGGTACTATGGAGGGGAGAAAGTTAAGGCTGTGGTTGTCAGGACAGGTAGGAAACATTTACTTGATAAATAACTATTAGTTTGAGGTAGGGCTGCGTCCAGGTGGACTGGTACGGACCGGAAAAATAGTATCGGTCCGGTCCGAAAAACCCGAAACGTCAGTGGACTGTTTTTTTGGACCGGAACAAAAATTCATACTTGATCACTACCCACAAGGAGGACTGCCAGGAAAATGAACATCCAGCGTTAAAGTAAAGAGATTTACCTTAGTTTCCGCCTCTCTCATTTCACAACAATATTTTTTCAGATTTACTACTGAAGTGAGATAGGAAACCTAGTTATATCATCCATGGTTATATTTCATCTTCTTTGAAAGATACAGGACAGTTGTCAACACTTTATTCATGTTTCTTTCATTATTGAAGAATTTCAGTAGAACATGTGACGCGTGTGAACTTTCAGGTACAGGTACAGGTCCTGACCTGGACCTAATCTTCTGTACCTGTACCTGTACCTGATGTTACGAAAAGGTACGCAGCCCTGGTTTGAGGCATGTGCTGTTGTCTACCAGAGGTCTGCTAAACCTCATACCTCGCCTAGCCTGGGTGCCATCCTCTGTAGTTTCTGCCCGCTCCCTAATGTCACTGTCATGGAAACTACGAAGGATGCCACTGAGGCTAACCTTCGCCAAGAAGATGTTTACAATATTACAAGTGATGAATTGTAAATATTTCTCATTGATAATTATGCAAAAAAGATACTCATTTGAATGAAATACTTCAGTTGATCATATTTCTCCAGCCAATGACAGCCAGTGTTCTTTCTATTTTTTGTAGGTTTTTCTACAGCTAAAGGAGAGCTGGTACGCTCAATTTTGTTCCCCAAACCGCTCAACTTCAAACTTCTCACAGCAGCCTACAGATTTGTGTCGGTTCTTGTTGGCGTAGGTAAGTTCAGTCTGTTTCACTTCAGAAAAAATAAAGCCACTGTGGAATACAATCACAACAACAGCAAAGAAAGTATCATGCATTGACAGAAGATATAAAGAGTGGGACAGTGGAGCTGCCATCCTACCCATACAATACTGTACTGTCCTGCCATACAGTCATACCTGTACAATGTACATGCATATGCCAAAAAACAGTTACTCAAGCAACTGGATATGATTTTGAAAACGTCAGACGTTTCAGCTAGTATCCACTAGCTTTCGTCAGTGACTGAGAGACCAGAGGGGAAAGCAGGTTTATATACACAACCTGTTGATTGATATGCAAATAAAGTGAAGACAAATTTTTGGAAGTCGAAAAAGGAACAAAAGTCAGACAAGTCAAGACAAGATGATGCAAATTAGTCTGAAAGCTCCTGTTATACAGGACAGGAGCTTAAGTGTTGTCTGTCCTCGGGGCTGGGAGTGCCAAATCCCAAGTGCCGGAAAGATTGACCCGTAGCCCCCCTTGCCTGTTGAGGGTGGGGTTGTACATTCTTTCATATATTGCCTCTTTAACACCCCGTTCCCACCAGCGTGTTTCGCGGTCTAAGACATCTGTGGACTCGAGTTTGAAAGAGTGACCCTGGTTGTGTTGTAGGTTTCGAAGTGTACAGGAAACCAACCCACACTGATCAGTACCTGGCTTTTGATTCCCACCACCCTTTGGAACACAAACTAGCAGTGATCAAAACTCTCTTCCATCGTGCAGACAACATTGTCACTTCAGACCAAGCCAAAACGGACGAACAAAGACACCTCCGAGGTGCCCTGGCTAAATGTGGCTACCAAAACTGGACTAAGAAAACCCAGAAGTGCAAACCATTGACCAACAAAAACAAGGCCAACATCACTATTCCGTATGTCCAAGGAGTATCTGAGAAACTCCGACGGATCTTCCAAAACTTCAACATAGCCACTAACTTCAAACCTCACTCAACCCTCAGACAAAGACTGGTACACCCTAAGGACCGACCTCACAAGGGTACCAAGGCGAATGTTATTTACAGACTCAAATGTGAGGAGCCCAATTGTAACAACACCTACATCGGAGAGACAAGTCGACCGCTTAAAGTAAGGTACAAAGAACATTGCAGACCTAGTGCCAACGGCTACTCCTCAGCTATTTTCCACCACCTACAACACAACCAGGGTCACTCTTTCAAACTCGAGTCCACGGATGTCTTAGACCGCGAAAACGGGGTGTTAAAGAGGCAATATATGAAAGAATGTACAACCCCACCCTCAACAGGGAAGGGGGGCTACGGGTCGATCTTTCCGGGATTTGGCCTTTTCGACTTCCAAAAATTTGTCTTCACTTTATTTGCATATCAATCAACAGGTTGTGTATATAAACCTGCTTTCCCCTCTGGTCTCTCAGTCACTGACGAAAGCTAGTGGATACTAGCTGAAACGTCTGACGTTTTCAAAATCATATCCAGTTGCTTGAGTAACTGTTTTTTGGCATATCGTATTACCTGGATGTCTAACCTTCATCAATGTACATGCATGTCATACCATCTACAAAATAGTAAGTACTTTGCATACTAGATGCCATGGGCATGCTGTATAGTTGTAGTGGGTAGGATTACAGCTTCACCTTCAGGATACTTTGCTTCTCTCTCTGATATACAATTTACCTCAGAGATTGTCTAGCAATGCTTGTTACATACCTATACTCGCCCTATAAATAGTTTTGATTTTTTTTAAAATCAATGAAAATAAATGAGCTTTGTCTCATTTGTCATGAGTGATATTCTAAAACTTTTCCACATTACAGATGTGGTATATTTTGTATTTCACAAGTCTCATTTCTTGATTTGATGACATTGTGATTAGGTAGTGTGTGCATGTATGTTACCACTTATATTTTGTATGCCCTATGGACCAGACCAATTGGTATGGGTGGACTGAACAGTTGATTTACGGTCTAAATTCTTTAACATCTGAAATTTGAAACAACTTAGATATTAAATGTAAAAACTAGAAAAGCTTTAAAAAAAAGACAGGCCCAGCCTCAAATAAGAGATGAAGGCCTTGTCAACCTGGAAGTGATTTTTGCCATATCTCAGCAATCCTTGATCCCCAACTTCAATAGTTTACGTTGCCAGAGCCTCTGTAGCACAATCCTGGTAAGTTTGAAGGTCCAGGTGCTTTTCAATTTTAAACGGTAATAAAAAAAATTGACATGCATGAAAGACCCCACTGTGCAATCCGTGACTGGAACTACCTGATCTACATAATTTATTCAGTTGTAAGAACAGTATATTTTTCTTTCATTTGTAAAGAGCTCATTCAGAGTTTATACTCAGTATATTATACATAATTTATTAGTGTTGTTAGTATGTAATCTGACTGCCAACCTCCTCCCTTCCAACTTGTATCCTACTAAAGGTTTAGCATAACAGCATCAAAACTGTATTCTTGAGTTTTATGAATTGGAAACTCTCGAAGGTCATGGATGAAATGTACAAAATTTAGTGTATTGCCTTCATCATGTAAACTCATTGGTATGTTTTGTTTGACAAATGTTCATGTGAATTTTCTTGCTGATTACGTGCCTAACAGTTGCAAATTATAGTCATGTGCTTGGGATGTCTTAATAAAATGTATATTTCCTTTTTTTCCAGCCATGATTGGCTTCACATTTACTGTGGCGTGGATGGCCCTGGATGGGGTAAGTGAAATGTTGCAGCTTTTTGCTACCTTTCCTCACTTCAAGACATACTTGATAATTTCACATCAGCTCAGGACCGACAGAAGATATTCTGTAGGAACTACAATTTTAATATGAACCAAAATAGAGTCTTAGATACAGTAGACTAGGATGTTCCCCACAAAATTAATATTTGTGTTACTAAGAGTTTTATAATAAGGCCATGTTGATTTGATTATATGGATGACATCCTCCGGGAACCCCAAAACTGATGCGCGCGTGCGAATAAAAAAAAAGTTTTGCAAAAAAAAAAGTTGCTTTCACTATGAAATCTACGTCGTGGTCAAGAAGGTGGAACAAATGGCACAGAATATGTTACGGCGAATAATCTACTCTTCGAATTCTTTTCTTTACATTTTTGTCCTTTATCCTTTGATTTTGGTATTCTACGACATTGGTATCGTTTCTAAATGTTTTCCTTGCAACTTATGGTATATTTTTGCTCATTTAGCAACTGTTTTGCACGATTTACAGTATGGTTGAAAACTTTTTTTTTTGGGAAACGGCCGAAAATTCATGCGCGCGCGGATGTCATCCATATAATCAAATCAACATGGCCTTAGGCCATGTTGATTTGATTATATGAAAAAAGTTTTCAACCATACTGTAAATCGTGCAAAACAGTTGGTAAATGAGCAAAAATATACCATAAGTTGCAAGGAAAACATTTAGAAACGATACCAATGTCGTAGAATGCCAAAATCAAAGGAAAAAGGACAAAAATGTAAAGAAATGAATTCGAAGAGTAGATTATTCGCCATAACATATTCTGTGCCATTTGTTCCACCTTCTTGACCACGTAGATTTCATAGTGAAAGCAACTTTTTTTTTTTGCATAACTTTTTTTTTATTCGCACGCGCGCATCAGTTTTGGGGTTCCCAGCGGATGTCATCCATATAATCAAATCAACATGGCCTAAGTAAAAATCTAAGTTGTCAGTATCAGAATATGATTAATATCACCATCAGAATTAAGATGGTCACCATGTAAGGCTACATGTACAATATATGTAAAAGTACTTAGTTGAATGTAAAAGATGTTTTCCTTTTTTGAGGCTGTATTCATCACAGTCACAAAGACAACTTCACAATGAACAAATCCACAAAGCATCTGGTTAACATCATTTGGCGTTGTGGAATTTTTCCAATCACATTCTGCAAAAGTTTCACTACATTTCAACATCTACAATTATACATGGCTTGTACATGTACATGTCACTCAACATTTTCTACCTGTTACAACAAAATTGCAATCAAAAGAAGCAGACTTATCATTGAACAGAGAAGAATATTGATGTTGACAGCTGAATTTTCTTTGTACCAAAAACAGGAAAAAACAAGGAAAGGCATTTTTGGTAAATTGAATGCAGTAAGTTCATTGTAGATGTTAAGTTTACATGCATGCTGTCAAGCACTCACAATTTCTTTTGACATTGTCTTTTCCTTTGTTACATGAAGGAATCAGTTGGAGAGATCTTCCTGGAGGCGCTGGACCTCATAACCATCTGTGTTCCTCCTGCTCTGCCCTCAGCCCTCACCATTGGCATCATTTATGCCCAGAGGAGACTTAAAAAGCAAGGAATTTTTTGCATAAGCCCTGAGCGAATCAACATCTGTGGTCTGCTGGACATGGTGTGTTTTGATAAGACTGGGACCCTGACAGAAGATGGGCTGGACCTGTGGGCAGTGGTACCAACCAAGAATAACAGGTACATGTAGTCTGCCTTTTCATTATGAGTCTGCCCTTTCATATTTCATTAACAGATCATTAGGAGCAGGACTAGAGACTGTTGATGTTTAGGATGTTGTATTTAGTAATAGTTTATGTACTGTGTATTTGTTATGTGTATTTTTATGTGTATCCAGGAAATGGCATGAGTTGTAATTACTGGACAGGTTAAATAGATAAATTGCATTGAAATATAAAGTCTACTTTCATAATACCTGCCACTAACCATAACACCACCAAAAAACAAACAATGACTTAATTTAAAGGCATTAACTAACTGCTGCTTCAATAATTTCTCAGGTATCTTGAAAGTTCATCTGTGTTGGTAGACGTCATTATGCTTTAAACTGTGATTAAACACGATCATGACATGTTTTTATGTTGACACAATTGAAAACCGACTTGGAGCGTTAAAAGTTTGCCAGTATCTTGTTTGTTCCTAATAGTATGTACATGCATTTACATTTGCCACTGTTCGTGGATTGGTAATTTGCAGCAAACCATTCCAAAAGCCTGTAGGTTGTTTTGGAGCAAACTGATCAATATAAATATTAATGCTGGTGTCCGAGTCTTTATGACTGTTGTAGAATACATCATTTCATCTGCATACATGAAAATATCACAAGACTGGAGACATTCAGGCAAACTGTTTGGATTGGTATCACAATGAAAAATTACCATGAACATGGTGGTGTTATGAAAGTAGATGTTACCTGTATTTGATTGTGCTTTTAGTCATTAAAATGCTTAGTAGTATTAAGATGATGAACTTTTTTTCATAAATAGCAGAGTCTATAATTTAGCCTGCATATTTAGTAGCAGTGTGAACATTTGCCACCTGTACATACATGTAGAAAGAACAAACTGTAAAGAGGTGTTTAATTAAGTGCTCTACCCACAGTTTTGCACCTGCCATTCAAGATGTATCCCAACTGCCTTTGGGGCCATTCCTCACTGCCATGGCAACCACTCACTCCCTAACTGTGATTGGTGGAAACCTATCAGGAGACCCTCTGGACCTCAAGATGTTTCAAGCTACAAAATGGGTACTACTCATCACTGAACTACGAATGACTCAACATCGCTTTTCTTACCTTGCAGCTTATCCTAATGTTTCCTTGCTTACAAACATATTTGAAAGATTTTGGAAACTTAAATGCAGTTCCAGAACAAGGTGATAGTGGGCCAAAACTTACGTTGTACGTTTATTCCGAGTACATGCAAAATCTATCTAATGTCCAAAAGTTGTGATCCTAGCATACATGTAACTACATGTATCAGTGCTCTTCCACTGCAAAAAAGTACCATAAGAAGCTGAGAGGGAGGCCAAAATCAAAGGTCTCATCACGAGCTAGCCACCTACCTAGTTTTATGACAATCCATCCAATAAAGCTTCTACGTAATAAGTATTATATCATCATATAGCCAGGTGGTATTGACTATTAAATCAGAAGCCCCCATTTCATATTGATTATGACACCATAATGTCACAGCATGATAGAAGTATTGCAAAATCATCCCAAGTGTGCTTTATTTCACAAGTGTGCTTTGTTGCAGAATAATGCACACTTGAGAGTAACCAGCTTGGTGCATACTACAAATGTTGCTGCAATAAATAGATCTACTGCATGCATTTTTCTGCATTACCTGCCATTTTAAATGTTTTGTTAGACACTACGTAGGTTTTAAAGAAGGAATTCATGTTCACTTGTTTCTGTTTCTGTAGGAGTTGGAGGAACCAGGCAGTGAAGAGAGCACTAAGTTTGACATGTTGGTGCCGACTGTAGTTCGACCTCCACAAACCATGGTCCTGCTTCATTCTCCTGATAAAAGAGAGGTGCTAAACAGATACATGTACTGTTTGTGTTTTCAAACTTACACATTTTTCAAAACCAATGCAGGGATTGTCACAGACTTTGTATACCAGGTTCAAAATTATAATTTGTCAGGTATTACAATTTTAGACTAGAAAGGCAGACATTTGCTTTGGAGCAAATGTAGCGGATGGCTTCACCCCATTTTACGACATGGCAGGGAAAGAAGGAGAAACACAAGGGAAAATAATTCTTTACATTGATATAACTATAGTATGAAGTGACAACCGTTAGATAGCTACCACCTACATTATTGGTTAGGATTTTTAATTGCACAATGCAAACTGCTGATTTTCAAGATAAAAAGAAGCGTTTATGCCCCGCATTCCAATGCTGGAGCAGGAAAGCTTGACATACTTACCAAAACACTTGAATAAAGTTCATACTGTCAATATGGCATGGCTTTGTACAGGTGTAATTGAGTTAACCTAATCAAACTCTAACAACCAATCAGCAAGAAGAATACAGGAAAGCTGCATGCCTATTGGTTGCTTGCTCTGCATGCCATTCTGATGACTCATGCCCAAATATGGTAACACACTGCTATAATTATAGTACATTTTCTATAACAAAACCAAAAGGCTCAAATAAAACCATTTTAAAAGCCTGTATCACAAAAATGAAAAATACACCTGGGGGTATTTGCCCACTCTACATTCTTGCCTAAAATTTCATGTTATTTGGCCTAAAAATGAAGGAGTTGAATCGATTTAAAGACATGGCAGGAGAAGGAGGAGGAGAAGGAGGAGAAGAAACATGCGGAAAAACAATATGTCTTCACCACATAGTGGTGAAGCCATAAAAAGAATATTCAAAGTATACAAAAAATGTATACTTTGAATGTATGATCAAACTGATAAATGTTGAGAGAATGCAGCAGATTCTTTGTTTTTCCATTGTTTTTTTAATGATTGTTAATTAAAAGCTATTGATATATGATTTAAAAAGTTGCCCTCTGTTTTCAGCACCCGTATGAGGTGGGAATTCTTCGTCAGTTTCCGTTCTCCTCCAGTCTTCAGCGCATGAGTGTGATGACACGTACCCTGGGGAGTGACCACATGGTGGTGTACACTAAGGGTGCACCAGAGATGATCATCCAGCTCTGCAAGCCTCACACCAGTATGTGTTTTCCTCGGTTTTGGGGCTATGAGGCCACACCAATTTAATTTCTTGGTTAACGGATTTGCCCGCTTCATTTTTTTCTGATTTGCAAATAATAAAAATTCAGAATCAATTGCAAAATGCTCATATTTTGCCCAGTTGAAAACAGTCCTTTTTTCACACTAGTTGTTGCAGTTATTCTGTCTTTCAATGCAGTGGTATCATTAAAAGTTCAAAATTCGTTGTTTAAATTTTGAACCAGCCTGGTGTGTTGACTTCATGGCTGCTTTTGTACCATTTTAGGCCATAATAGGATGCCTAGGCCAGTTTTTATTTTTTATTTTTTGGCCCGCCCGCTCCATTATTTTTCTAGAAAAATCCGTTAACCAAGAAATTAAATTGGTGTGGCCTGAATTGAAAAATTTGAATTTCTGTCAGGCATTCCAACTCAACATGCTTTTATGATCGCTAGTGCATTCATACATGTACTATATGGACCTAATTTGCATAATAAGTGCAAAGACAGTTAGGTTTCTGAATTCTTCTTGTAACCGTAGTTGAAACACGATCTTTAACATGATATGATTTTGATGTTGATTGTTGAAATTCTTAACGCCTTTTACTGTTTCAGTTCCAGCTGATTTCTATGAAGTTCTAATGACGTACACAGAAAGTGGCTTCAGAGTTATTGCTTTGGCATGCCGGCCTTTGGAAAACAAAGTCAGGTTTTTACAGGCACAACGGATGGAAAGGTAAGATACAGAAGTTACATACTGTAATGGGGCCAATTCATGTTGGATTTTACATGTACATGTAGGTGAAGTGACCTGATTCCCATTGTGAATACATAACGTGTGTCAACGTGGTCCAATGTTCTGTCTTTTCCATCCAATCTGTATCAATTTGCTAACATTTTAACTTGGGATGGAATGATGGTGGGCATTAGGAGTGATGTACATGTATTTGTGACAATATCACAGTTAATTTATGCAATGTATTATGCACAATGCCAATTCAGGACTCATCACTGTGCATGTGGTCTTTGCATCTGGATTTCAAATAGATGTGCATGTATGTACACAGAATATTTTTTTCTGAACATACAGGAATGAAGTAGAGACTGACCTAACATTTCTGGGCCTGATGGTTATGCAAAATGCTCTCAAACCTGAAACCACACCCATCATTCACCAACTCAGGGAGGCCAACATCAGAACTGTCATGGTAACAGGTAAGGTAACCACACCCATCATTTACAACATCAGAACTGTCATGGTAACAGGTAAGGTAACCACACCCATCATTTACAACATCAGAACTGTCATGGTAACAGGTAAGGTAACCACACCCATCATTTACAACATCAGAACTGTCATGGTAACAGGTAAGGTAACCACACCCATCATTTACAACATCAGAACTGTCATGGTAACAGGTAAGGTAACCACACCCATCATTTACAACATCAGAACTGTCATGGTAACAGGTAAGGTAACCACACCCATCATTTACAACATCAGAACTGTCATGGTAACAGGTAAGATTACTTTACAAAGCTATACGTAACAGTTTTAGATTATAGGTTAAGTATATGTTTGTGGCGTCTGTGTGGTGTAGTGGATAGAGCAAGCAAAAGCACTGTCAAGCAAAAGACCCAGGTTCAATCCCCAGGGTTGGACCAAGACATGTCCGGACTTGCACCCAGACGTTGTGCCCTTGGGAAACGCACTTAACACACATTTCCCCCTCAGTTAGAGGGATCCTGGGCCCTACTAGGGTTTGGGTTGGCGTTATAGGAAGAGCATCCAGCCGTAAAAAATCTTGCTTCAAAAAAAGACTTGTACTTGGTGCAAGCACGTCTAACTCCCGGTTGGGGAAGAATGACGTTAAATTTGGTTTTAAAAAAAAATATGACGCAAGCAGTTGGAAAGTGTAGACTGGTTATATTTTGAAACAGGAGACAACATCCTGACAGCTGTGAGTGTAGCGCGGGAGTGTCGGATGGTTTGTCCTGGTCAGCAGGTGGTAGAGGTCACGGCTCTTCCTCCTACCGACAGCACCCCTCCCAACATCACCTACACAGTCTCCACTAAACACATGGAGCCTCAAGAGGAGATAAAGGGGGGAGAGATTGCTGTACAAATGGTAAAGATATTTTGGATTATGTTATTATATTATCAACAAAATTCTTCACATCTTCACATGATGTTAAAACACCATAAGCTTTCATACATTTCAAATGATCCTTTCATTTTGTTATATGTTTTTTAATGTCATAATTTTTACTGTAAATTCACTTTATGTTTGTGGTAGCAAAAGTTTGTGGTCTGAGAAAAATGGACGTTTTCGTAGAGCTACATGTACGTGTAACTGTTATACGTTTGCAATGGCAACGGGTGCAGCAAGAAGAATTTTGTTCACAGTAATGATAAGTTCGCTGTACAGACTGAGGTTATCACAGAAAAAATAAATCCTACTAACTAAATGCTGTTTTATTGCATGGCTGTCAGCAGGAAGATACAGTGGATGTGGATGACTCAGGTGACCAGTTCCACTTTGCTGTGAGTGGGAAATCATTTGCCATCATCAGGAAGTACTTCCCACATGTTCTACCCAAGGTACTGGCTCAAATCACCAACAATATATTAGATAAATTTGTGCTTTTGATTTGAACAGTTTTTGTTTGATTGACATGTATTTGATCCCGATGAATGTCCACAGTGACTGCAATTCGATGTTTTTCTGTTCGTTAAATGTACAGATTACATAAACTCATATTCCTAATTCGACTTGACAAACCTTCCATCGAAAAGCATATCTGTTCCTTTATCTCTACTATAACTGAAAAGCGAGAAGTTGAATTTATGTAATGATAGCTAGTTTTATTTTGTATGTATCTTTTCAACATGTCTTGTTTTGACCTGTACTTAGCCCAGTGTGGCAAAAATGTGCAATAAAGGTCGTCATTCATTCATTAATTTTGGTGCCTGCAAATTATGTAGGATTAAAATGCCTAAGTGCCCTGGTTAGAAGAGATTGTGCTGAAAAAACTTTTATTTTGCTAATGACATATACATTCAATTTTAACATGTATAACAGATGCCATAAGTTACATTGTATTCATACCCTTGCCAACCAAGTACAATTACAGTGAATGATTTTGTTGTCATCTGTAACTTTATTTGAGCTAGTCTTAATTTTCTCAAGATTCACTGTTTACTATAATTTTAATTTTGTCTTAGACCGGAACATTATGTAAAAATTGATGATTAAATGGTGACTGTAATTATTTGAATTTTCAGTTGGCTGTAGGTGGCACAGTTTTTGCCAGGATGTCCCCAGACCAGAAGACACAGCTCCTGGAGGTATACCAGGATTTAGGGTGTGTAACTGTTATAAGTCATTCAGCTGTGACAGCAGTGGTTTTTGTCTAAATTTGTAGATTTGTTCATAAGCATTCAAAATTTTTCAAAACCTGATTTATTTCTAGGCCACAGCGACTTAATTTTTTGGATGACATCCTCCAAAGACCCCCAAACTAGTGCGCGCAGGCAAATAAAAAAAGATCCGGCCAAAAATAAAAATGCTACTAAACCACAGGAATACAAAGCTGGTATTGTGAATGTACGTCAGGACATGGTGATGTATTCGACAAGCCGGCACATGCTGTTTTTTTTGCGGAGTTTATGAATAGGCATTGTAAGTATGTACTGAGGTCTTGAGTCGTGGAGCTTCAGCAGCCTGGGTGCCATCCTCCATAGTTACCACCGGCTCTGTATAATATTGTCACTAGGTACCATACAATACCCAGGCCTAGAGCCAGGCCAGAGCCTTGGAGGACATGATCTTTTTTTTCTTCTTTTTTTCTGAAAATAGGTGAAAATCAATGTGCGCGCAGATGTCATCCATAAAATTAAGTCGTTGTGGCCTTACGGAGGTTTAAGTGTATAAATGGAAGTGTAAAAAACAATTTTTTATGTTAACTCAATATTACCCACATGTTTATAGTGATAGAGGGTTGCACACGTTTGTGTGATACTGGATCTGATACATGAAAAATCTTAGGCTTTATTTATAAAGGCTTCTACTATCATGGAATACCCAGCTATGCTCCCCTAACCTATCGTAAGATGCCTTACGGTGTTTGTGACCATGCTTTATGTGTTCACCATTGTACCCACTATTCTCAAACCTATGATGTACGAGTATTGTGCAATGTGCTGTATGTGACCAGGGCATTAGGAAACATGACCTACAGAATCTGATGTAGGAAGTTTTTAAGGAGCTGACATGTTTGATGCAGCTATAGTCATCAAAAGGCTGGCTAGTGGCTGCTTCAGGACAAGACTTCTAAATACATGACTTAAGGCTTTTGTTGAAGGGTCAAGTTAGGGTTGCAGTAGAAACTACATTTTGTTATTATATTTGTATTGTAGTTTACATGTTCATTTTTACCTCCATGAAAATGCCTGACGTGAATGTGAAGTGACCAGTATTGACTGAGGCCTACATATACGTCCATGCTTGTTGTCGTAAATGTCTTTATTTCATTTTCTTCTATATAGGCACTATGTTGGCATGTGTGGTGATGGTGCAAATGATTGTGGGGTAAAACTTTAATTTGTTTTTTCTATTAAGATTTTATTTCATGTAATGTTACATGTACAACATGTGTATCCAGTATCCTGTTTATAAAATTAATGACAATCATATTTGTTTTATGATTACCCAAGACCAGTCTATCTGGGCTGCTTTTTCCAACAATATAATTATATAATAAGTTAAACCAATGTTTCAACATGAACATTAAGGTTTTTCCTGGTTGCATTAATTGGAGTTTACCAATTATTTTGTGTTTATCTCACTTGTGCTAGTTAAGCCACAGCAAGTATATGGATGACATCTTTTGATCTGCAGACTCCAAATTTGTTACTTTTCCAATGGTCCATTATTTTGATTGTTAAAGGTACATGTATATGTTTTGACATGCTCTGGTACCAATGGTGTTTAGAGCATTCAAAAATGGTGGTAACTGCAGCGTTTCTTGATATTTCATGACAGAGGGCTTGAAATACCTGGTTTCCCAGCTGTGCTGAACAGCCATAATCACCTCTTAAGTCTATATGTCTATTAAATATTAAATATTCAATAGTAATTGTGTACATGTAACATGTTACTTCTTGACTAGGCTCTGAAGCGGGCCCATGCTGGGATCTCCCTGTCAGAGCTGGAAGCCTCGGTTGCGTCACCCTTCACCTCCAAGAAGAACGACATTCAATGTGTTTTGACACTCATCAGGTATTATTTAATTGAACTTGTCATTTGCCCAGTTGATTACTAATAAAGAGAAACAAACGCCTTATATTATTGAGGACATGTCAAGATATAACAGTTATGCTTTGAAATAATTACAAAATGGCACTATTCTTTTTTTACCATCCTATTACATTAAGTATCAGGTGCACCATAGGCCTTGTGAAATGATTTCATAATATTTTATTTCTCCTAGTAAGCTACTAGGTATACTATTTTTATTTAGTGCCTAGTTACCTAGCAGCTTACTAGGAGAAATAAAATATTATGAAATCATTTCACAAGGCCATGCCATCCCAAACTTCCCACTTCCTTTTTGCCTGATTCGAAAGATTTAAACTACCTTCAGGCTGCTGCATTGTAGTTATAATAATTCCCTGAGTGTGTTTCATTTTGATTTGTATTTGATTAGCTTCTTCAGTTTGTGGTAAGGTTGTCATCTGGCTGTTACATGTATTTCACAACTGAAAAGAATAATAATTATTATTAACAGGGGGTGCCCTAATTCCGACCTATGTTCCATGCAAACGCACAGACCTTTGGTAATAGTTTATCTGACCAAAAACCCGCGCAACATGAGATATAATATTGACAGATAAAGATCACAACTATTAAAGCTGTACAGCTGTGTATTTCACTTGAGTGTAGCGCCTTGCACCCAAGCGTAATGGCTCACGAAACGTACGGCAGGTTTTTGGTCATTTTGCCGGTGGAACGTTCTATCGCAACAGGGGTGCCCTAATTCCGATCTATTGTTTAACACAGGTCGATCTGAGAAGAGAGTTTAGAAATTATAATACACAAATTATGACTAAAACAATCTACAACTGTTTTTCTGTCCCAAACAAGTCCTCTTTTTACGATTACGCGACTTGCTCCAAAGTGGCTGTTTGAAAAGCAAAACCTGCATTTTTGACACGCTCGTCAACCCCCGAACAAGCGTCGAATTCACACAGATTTTTCACTCGTCTGTTGTTGGAGTGTAGGAACTAAAACAAACTTTGTGAGCTTACCGATATCAACACAAAAACATTGTCCATTCTTGTGATTATTTTTAGGCACGTGCTCCCATGCATAACGCCGCAACAAGGATTTTTCAAACTAGTTCGGTATTAGGGATGGGTCGGAATTAGGGCACCCCCCGTTACATGTAACGGTACATGTAAGGATTAAAACATTGCTGTTTTCTTGTACGCATACCTGCATTATTTCTGTCTTAGTCCCATGTACATGTATTTCAATTGCAATTTTAATTAAAAGAAACAATAATTATTTTTGCACCACAAGACAGTGATTATGGGTACCTAAATATATGTACAGGGAGGGTCGCTGTGCTTTGGTGACCTCTTTTGGTGTCTTCAAGTTCATGGCTCTCTACAGCATGATTCAATTCATGTCAGTTCTCATCCTGTATGGAGTAAGTAACATCAGATTCTATTTTTTTAATCATATTTTTCATATATAAACAAATAGATACACCAGATCTAGACACAATTTGGCAGTTTTATGCTATGCAAACAATAACTTACAACAGAGATTATGATATACTGGACACAACTTTTTGTACCGAGTTTACTATTTTTCATAATATTATAAAACAAAATCATAAAAACATAAAAATACATGTCTATAATAATGGTTGTTGTGTGCTATATTTTATGCAAATCTCTATTAGTTAACATAGATCCACCAGCTTACAATGTACATACAAAATGTATATCCACCAAAAACAGATCCATTAGGCAGCACTCACATACACAGAATGTGGGAAATGAAATATGAAGCAAAAAACAACAACAATGATTTAAAGTAGATTCCTGATCGAGAATTATAGTACGAAATACAAGGGAGACGGAATTGAATTAAAAACTAAAATACACTCAGAACATCTGTAGTAACAGAATTGCAGAGTTCTGTGTATTTTACTTCTTTACCCAAGTCTGTAATGTATCATGTGATTTTCTGATGGTTTGCTTTGTATTTCATTCCATTTCAGCTTTCTGTACACTCCAGTTTAGATAATTCCAGGAGTGCATTTTACTGGCTTACGTTGCGGTAGAGATCTGAGTGTTTGTTTAGATGTGTTTTCTCAGCAGGATGGCAAATATACTTAGTAGCACATCACCTGGTAGAATACCTTATAATCATAAGAAGAAGGGTGCCTCATGGCATCTGAAATGTTTGTAAATTTGTATCAAACTTTTGTCCACTGGCAGAAAAAATGAAAAAACTAGAGTTCGGAGGACTCATGCCTTCGACAGTGTGATATTGTTTTGGTGGGTGTTGTGTGTATGTATAGTGTAGGCTTTTTGAAGATGATTATTATCGTAGTTATAGTGGTCAGAGAGTCTTTTTGTGAACGAAGCAACATACTATTTACCTAGCCTGTACCATGTCTTTCTACAGAAATACGGAATGTAGAATTCGTCATTTGGTACAGGGGTGACTTGAGCATATGCTCAAAGAATGACATTTGCAACTTTGGCATACATCACTTGAAAATGGTGTGAAACAGGTCTTTTGTGCTATTTTCAGACAAAAATGTACATTTTTGGCTCCTGTGACCTAATATTACAACCAAATGACCTAAAATTTGGTATAGGAGTGCCTTTGACGAATGCCCAAAGAACTATATTCACATTTTTGGTAAACACTACTTTGAATTTGTTTAAAATAAGTTTTTTCTGCTCTTTCCAGACAAACTGCTTTTACAGTACAGATCGCGGGATAAGCATAATCGGGATTCGGGATTTTGTGGGATATCCCGCGGGAGTTTGCGGGATATCCCGCGGGAGATTACGGGATCTCCCGCGGTATTCTTTCGGGAGGCCTGTCGTGTCCCGCGTACCGCGTAGCGAAAAAACTTGGTGCGAGACCCCGAGGTCTACCGCGGCTCCGAACGCCGATGGCGGCGTGCCAAATGTTTATTTTTACGTCCTGCCGGGCGAGCTGTGCCGGGCCGACGGAGTCTGACACCAGTCAACTTTGCTACAGTTTTTATTAAATGGTGGTGAAGCACAGGAATGTACGAAAATAATGTGTATAATGTGTTTTCCACGCAGTTATATTTAAACTGCTATTTTTTTTTCAAAGCTATTGTTCAGCGCAAACTTTAAGAAACTACCGTGAATGAATACAATGTAACGTGTAGTAATCCCTTCGTCTCCGGTGAATTCGGCAAGACTCAAGTTACCAAGAAATATAAATTATGAGGCGTACCGGCAGTATTTTGTGGTTGTTGTGTTTCATAATCTTGTAGCTGTTGAGGTCTTCTCATGGTTAGCTTGCGTCAAGAAGTCTCCGTATTAGTATTAAGAACTGCGACAATTAAAAGCTTGCCCATCAAAATCCCGGGGCGTGCGTCCCTCCCCCCCTCCCCAAAAACTCTTGCATCATATATAACAACGACCATGTCCATAATTTCATGCTATCACCCTGAAAGCGAAGTACTCCCACACGGCTGGCAAAGTTTCTTTCGGTAGGAAAACATTCTACTTCTGTCAGCTGCGGGGTCAGCCAGCTAGATGAAAACGGAATCGATTTTTTAACAGAACAACGCTATAACGTAGCGCCCGTCCAAGACACGGGAGAACCCGAAAAATAAATAAACACGGGAGAACCCGATCTAAACGTGTTTTTATGCAAAATTTGACGCAGATTAATTCGTTCTCAGACCATAAAACTTGAAATTCACTCGGTACACTCCGTGGAACTAGCCTCCTCACATGTGAAAACGTTGTTTTGGGATCAACTCTTTGAGGTCGCAGAACACAGTATTAATGGGTGACCCCCGGGGTCTATGACGCGGGTATAGAAAGTAGTGCAGACAGACCTCTTGCATCCTGGCTAAAGCGACTTATGTGAGAGGTAGCCATGAATGAACTGCACTGTGTGGTAAGGAAAGGTATCGGCTTGTACACCGTATGAGTTGGATTGTGAAGATTTCCCTGTTCGTGTATAAATGCGTGGCATTATGCAACAACGTTCCAGGGTGAGCCGGCTGCAGTTCCGTTGACCCCGGTTGAGGGCCAAATCAAAGTGGTCGTCATTATGTTAAAAAACGATAGCTTTTTTTTTAGAATATACCGTATATTTCAACATCTAAATTGGCCGTGATTGTCTAGTGCACCCTACTATAATTTTTACCGCGTCGAAGAGAGTCACCTCGGGGTGCTTCCATCATGCTAACTGCCTGGAATTTCATACTTGGGGTTGCTGGTGTCTTTTCCAAATTAAAAGTGACCAGTGTTACTACAGTAACGTACGGACCTCCCACGACGCCCATTTCCGAACTTGATCTTGCTATCGTCAACGGTAACTTGCTCGCAAAAAATCGTGAACATCCATTTAAAGATTCTCGAGTTATCTTGTACACAAGAAAAAACACAAAAAACAAAGGTCAACTGCAGTGACATAGAAACCCCCACGGGGCCCATCTTTGAACTTGACCTCGGCATTCTCAACGGTAACTTGCCCACTAAAAATCATGAACATCCATTTAAGGATACTCGAGATATCCTGTACACAAGGAAAAAACACCAAAAACCAAGGTCAATTACAGTGACGTAGGAACACCCCACGAAGCCCATTTTTGGCCTTGACAATGGCCACCCCCAAGACAACTGCCTGCCAAAGATCGTGAACCACGGACCATGCCTTCAAACTTTACCGTGCATAATCTACAAAACAGGCTGAAAGTGATTTCATAGCCTTCTCGTCGAAGGCAAATAGTAATTTAACATTGTCTGGACTCTTGCATCATGTAATGATACATTGTACATGCACATGTAGGTAGGTTACATTAAAGTCTAATAATGAAATTTGCATCCCTGCAAGGTTTTTGCCAACTTGGGTGACACCCAGTACCTGTATCAAGACTTGGTCATAATAACAACAATAGCTTTTGTCAGTGAGTATCATTTTATTACATCAAACGTGACATTGTAATTTATCACACTGTTTACAACATTTTTGCTCCTGTTTCTTCCTCAGTTGTAGTCTTCCATTTCAGTTGCTGTTACCTTGTTATTTACAGAATCATTCTCTATCTAACAAAAAGGTCATGTTTCATGGTACTGGTAGTCAAATGATCATCATGTTTGTTTCTCACCTGTACTACTGTATGGCACGACTCAGGAAGTTTTGGATGGCTTAGTTTGTGTAGCTTACTGACTCAGAAAGCATGTTCTTCCATATTTTAGTGAGCCGTAACTCAGCATATCCAAAGCTGGTACGGCAGCGGCCACCAACTAGTCTCCTGAGGCCCCCTATCCTGTTTTCTGTGATAGTGCAGATCGCCATTCAGTTGGCTTTCCAGCTTGGGGCTTTCTACTTTCTACTAGCACAGCCCTGGTGAGTGGAGTGAATGTCATGATCATGATTAGTCCTCACTTTTATGGCAACTTTTGTGTGACAATTTTTTCTTTTAAATTATGAAGCATTTGGAAGTTCATTCCTTCAACAGATTCTGTTTATAATTTTACAATGATATATGGTTATACACATAAAAGGTATTTGAGGTGACACACATTATTGACATTTCCAAACGTGCAATTTAGGGTGCAATTTAGGTGCAATTTAGGGTGAATGGGTGAGTGAGTGAGTGAGTGAGTGAGTGAGTGTGTGGGGGAGTGGAGGAGTGAGTGGGGGAGTGAGTGAGTGAGGGGGTGAGTGGGGAGTGAGTAAGTGGAAGAGTGAGGGAGTGGGGGAATGATTGGGAGACTGAGTGAGGGAGTGAGTGAGTGGGTGGAGGAGTGAGTGGGGGAGTGAGTGAGTGAGTGAGTGGAAGAATGTGTGAGGGAGTGAGAGGGAGAGTGAGTGAGTGAGTGAATGGGTGAGTGAGTGACTAAGTCGAGGAGTGAGGGGGTGAGTGAGTGAGTAGAAGAATGTGAGTGAGCAAGTGGGGGAGTGAGTGAATGGGTGAGAGGGTGAGTGGGTGAGTGGAGGGGTGAGTGAGTATATTGAGTTATAGGAAGAGTGAGGGAGTGGGTGAGTGATTGGGAGAGGGAGTGAGTGAGTGAGTGAGGGAGTGGATCAGTGAGTGAGTGATTCCTAAGTGACTGAGTGAATGAGTGGGTGGGGGATTGATGTATATTTCACACATGTAGAGTGAGTGTACCACATGTACATGTCCCACATGATGCCTCTCTGTTGTACTGTATGATTCCAGGTTTGTGCCATGGGAAGACTACAGACTCTGTAATGATGGCAGCATGAACGTCACAGTCAATACAACAGACATCAATGCCACGGTGGGCCCCACCTTGAAACCCTGCACTGTGGACTATGAAGATGAAAGTGATCAAGGAGTTTGGACCTATGAAAGTGCTACAATGTTTGGGATAGCAACATTCCAGTATGCAACACTAGCCTTCGTCTTCTCCAAAGGAAAGCCATTCCGACAACCTGTTCACACAAACTGTAAGTAGGAAACTGAATTATGCAATGTCATGTAAGTGAAGTTGGATGTCTTGAAACTAGTTAATATAATATTTGATCATCCTGTATTAAACAAACCCATTTCAAATGATATTTTTGACATCACTAAGAAACGAGAAGAAGCTGAACCTTTGTATTAGTGTAGTTTAGAGCTGTTTGTACTACAAACATGTATATTAACCTTTCATCTGTTCACCTGTACTTTAACACGATAAGGCATGAATGTACAATAAAGATTATTATTATTATTAATATTCCTATAATTACTTTCATGATCTCCATATGCATGTAAGATTGGAAAGGGCTACCAGTAATTTGTAGACAATCAAGCTGACAATTTCATTATATAGTTTAGGAAAATGCAGATGATTTCGGATGAAAATGATGCAGTTGTGCCTTGTTAGGAGTGCAAAAAAATTCAAAGCAGTCATTTGGAGTGAAATATTTGCTTGCAAATGTTACCCATTTGAGTTAGAACAAGTTTACAATGTTCATAATGATTGTACATTTCCTTGTAGGGTTGTACATGTTGGACCTGATCATCCTGACTGCTCTCAATGTGTGGCTTTTGCTCTACCCAACTGAGCCTGTTGCTTATTTTATGGAGGTAAACTTTGTGTCGGTTACATGTACTAATGAGCATGTGGATGACAGTTAGGCCACACCAATTTAATTTGTTGGTTCTCGGATTTTTTCAGAAAAAATATGAAGCGACAGGGAAAAAAAATAAATAAAAACAGGTCCGGTCTAGGCATCCTATTATAGGCTTAAATGCTACAAAATGAGCCATGAAGTCAACACAAAAGGCTGGGTTAAACTTTAAACATTGAATTTTGAACTTTTAATCAAACCACTGCAATGATAGATGGGAACAGGCATGTTTGTGTATGTATGGGTTGTGTTCAGCACAAGGGACAGGCATGTTTGTCTATGTATGGATTGTGTTCAGCACCAAGGACAGGCATGTTTGTCTATGTATGGATTGTGTTCAGCACCAAGGACAGACATGTCTGTGTATGTTTGGATTGTGTTCAGCACCAAGGACAGGCATGTTTTTCTATATTTGTGTTTTGTTCAGCACCAAGGACAGGCATGTTTGTCTATGTATGGGTTGTGTTCAGCACCAAGGACAGGCATGTTTGTTATGGGTTCACCACACCACGAAGTGGTGTGGTGAAACCATATTGCTTTTTCTGGTGTTTCTTCTTCTTCTTCTCCTCCTTCTTCTCCTGCCATTTTTTAAATGGATTCAGCTTCTTCATTTTAGGGCCTAAGGTCCTGAAATTTGGTATGGAGGTACAGTGGGCAAATACCCCTAGGCGTTTTTTAAATTTTTGTGATACAGGCTTTTAGAATGGTTTTATTTGAGTTTTTTGGCTGTGTTATAGCAAATGTATTACTGTGTTAGTGTGCCATGTTTACCACGTTTGGGTATGAGTCATCACAATGGAATGCAGGGCATCAACCAATAGGCATGCAGCTTTCCTCTATTCTTCTTGCTGATTGGCTGTTGGGATTTAACTTGATTAACAACTGCACAGAGCATTTCCACCTGCACAGAGCATTTCTTGCTGATTGGCTGTTGGGATTTAACTTGATTAACACCTGCACAGAGCATTTCCATACTGACAGTATGTCTTTATTCAAGTGTTTTGGTAGGTATTTCAAGCTTTCCTGCTCCAGCATTGGAATGCGGGGCATGAACGTTATTTTTATTCTGAAAATCAACAGTTTGCATTATGCAATTAAAAATCCTAACCAATAAAGTAGGGAATAGCTATCCAACTGTTGTTTTAGTCGTATGTTAGTTCATATTATAGTTATATCAATGTAAATCATTGTTTTCCCTTGTGTTTCTCATTCTTTCCCTGCCATGTCGTAAAATGTGGTGAACCCATCGCTGTATTTGCTCCAAAGCAAATATTGGCCTTTCTAGTCTATATTTGTGTTTTGTTTAGCACCAAGGACGGGCATGTTTGTGTATGTATGGGTTGTGTTCAGCACTAAGGACAGGCATGTTTGTGTATGTTTGGATTGTGTTCGGCACCAAGGACAGGCATGTTTGTCTATGTATGGATTGTGTTCAGCACCAAGGACAGGCATGTTTGTGTATGTTTGGATTGTGTTCAGCACCAAGGACAGGCATGTTTGTCTATGTATGGATTGTGTTCAGCACCAAGGACAGGCATGTTTGTGTATGTTTGGATTGTGTTCAGCACCAAGGACAGGCATGTTTGTGTATGTATGGATTGTGTTCAGCACCAAGGACAGGCATGTTTGTGTATGTATGGGTTGTGTTCAGCACCAAGGACAGGCATGTTTGTGTATATTTGTGTTTTGTTTAGCACCAAGGACAGGCATGTTTGTGTATATTTGTGTTTTGTTTAGCACCAAGGACAGGCATGTTTGTGTATGCATGGATTGTGTTCAGTACCAAGGACAGGCATGTTTGTCTATGTATGGATTGTGTTCAGTACCAAGGACAGGCCTGTTTGTGTATGCATGGATTGTGTTCAGCACCAAGGACAGGCATGTTTGTCTATGTATGGATTGTATTCAGCACCAAGGACAGGCATGTTTGTGTATGCATGGATTGTGTTCAGCACCAAGGACAGGCATGTTTGTGTATGCATGGATTGTGTTCAGCACCAAGGACAGGCATGTTTGTGTATGCATGGATTGTGTTCAGCACCAAGGACAGGCATGTTTGTGTATGCATGGATTGTGTTCAGCACCAAGGACAGGCATGTTTGTGTATGCATGGATTGTATTCAGCACCAAGGACAGGCATGTTTGTCTATGTTTGTCTATGCCACAACACTAGGGACAGGCATCAAGAAAAAAGATCCATTGACAGATTTTTTAGTTAAGCTACACACATACAATTGACAGTACAGTACAATTGGAAAAAGAAACAGGTGGACTATTTTTGAACATGACCTACATTTCGAAAATGGCTACCCACGTACCAATGATGAAAAAAGATCACCCACAAATATTCCATTTCTAACGTTGACCTGCAAACCCTTCTGATGAAGCTTCACTCACTTCTACATTCTACAGCTCTCCCAGTTTCCTGACTTCACCTTCCGCCTGTGGCTACTTGTTGGAGCTGCGGCAAATTTTGTGATATCCTGGCTGACTGAGGTGGGCATGCTGTTGTCTTATTATTGCAAACATTGTACGTTAAATACAGTGGAAGACGAAATGCATTTTATCTCAAATTTTACCCTCTATAGCAATGAACGAAATGAAGTCTTTGAGGTAGCCTCCAAATTCTACCCAAACTTTCACACATATACAAATGAAAACTACTCTCCTCTTAACATCCGAAAGCCCACAAATAGATAGATAGAATAGATAGAATGGTTTATTTCAAATTGGAAACTCCAGACATACACAATTTCAATTACCATCACATTGACAACAGACTCGCAGGCAGCCATACTGGCTGCCTGAATTGCTCCGAGGTCACAAAATGTCATTAAAATATGGGTATTATTGTTAAAAATTATTACATATTATTAAATATTGTTAAAATTTATAAATCGTAAAATACTCCTCTGCTTTAGAAAATGGATTTATAGTCAATATACATGTTAAACGTTACGCAGTAAAAAAAGGCTGTCGTAAAACATTTGCAACAGATTACTCTTACATTGCCGTTTTAGAGTTATTAAGTAACTTAACCATGTATGGTAGTGCGCTGTTTCTAAAGCGTTCGGTTCTTGTTCTAAAACAGTCAATCTGGTTACTGGACCGTGTTGTACGTCCACTGATGTCCCCACGGCGGGGAGGGAACCAATGCCGGTAGTCGGGAGATTGTAAGAGTTTTTTGGCAAAAGTCAAGCAGAGGTGGTCTCGCCGTCGTTCCAAAGTCTCGAGGCCAAGTAGGAGACAGGCGTCAGCATAGTTTGTGTAGTTTTTGCCAAGGATAGTTCTGACGGCACGGCGTTGGATTCTCTCCAGCTGGTTACGTTGTGCTTGTGTAAGGCCTGGATGCCACGCTGGTACTGCGTACTCACACACTGGTCGGACGTAGCTTGTGTAGATTGTGAGTAAGTCCTCTATAGATAATCGGAAAGTCTTCAGTTTTCTAAGTAGGAACAGCCTCGTGCCGCCTTTCTTCACCATGTGTTCCACATGAACGTCCCATCTGAGGTCAAATTACAAAAAAATTGGATCCTTTGTCTTCCTCTGTCTTCAAAAAAGAAGTCAAACCCAGTAGTTTTTACTAGTAGTTTCTTAGTAGTTAGTAGTTCCACGTGCACTAATTATCTGTTTTTATATCAAATGTTTCTTCTGTTCATGCAATTAGCCCTCGGGCATGAATTTGCAATAAAAGTTATTATTATCTGATGTGTTTTGTACGGTGTTGTAACCTTAACATGTTGTCAAGATCTCAGCATTTGAACTTAATGGTGCAATAAATATTCATCTTCTTCCCTCTTACTGCATAGGTACTGTTAGCAGACAACAATGCTCTCTGGAAGTGGCTAACGTCTTCTTACCACAAACACCACAAGAAGAAGTACCAGATTTTGCGAGAGGAGCTCCTTTATGATAAAGACTATGGCCTGCCAGTCGGGGTTATACGTCCCCAAGGCACAGGAAAAGAAATCAATTCCAATGTTGGTCATGTTGGAGGTACACGTAGTGGAAGTATTGATGAAAGTGATGATATGGAGAATTCAACATATTTGTAACATTTTGGAATCAGCTGCATCTGACTGTGGATTTGTTTGGGTATATGATGGCAGCATCTATTTTTACTTGCATTTCTGTAATACTGCTGTAATGTATTGTAACTGTCATTTACTTAGATCTGATATACATTGAAATTGTAATGGCCGAGCCAAAAGAGCAATTGTACTGATTGAGTTTAACCATGGGGACAGTTCCTATTAGCTACTGTGCAGTACTGGTTGTTCCAGGATGACATTTGGTGTCTGCTATTGACGTATCTGTTTTTTTTCCCTTTCACTTCATATTTTTCATGAAAATATGTATGGACCAACAAATAAAATTGGTGTACGAAGTCATTTTATACAATATACCTAATATGAAATATGCACTGCCAGATATAAAATTTCATTGAAATTTCTCATTAAGTCATCATACATCATCATGGCATTTTTTTACAATTTGATTTTGAATATACAGCTATGTTAATGAGTGCAATAATGTTTTTGTTTGTTTTTTTTGTTTGTTGTTACCACAAAACAAAAATGATTAAAAAATTTTCAAGCAAAAAAGAATTCCATCTGTAAAATGAGGAAAGGCTAGAATTGTCATGAACACGTGTTGTATATAATATATAATGTAAGATGTAAAATAATTAGCATATTTTTACTGAGGAAATGTAATAATTTTACCAACACTCCACCCATGACATGTAATTAGGACAGAGATCTCTGCAGGCTCGTCTTCAAGTTGTTTTCACAAGAAGATATAGATTTCATCGACTTATAGATTTAAGTGAAAAAAAGATCAGAATGATGCATTTTGTTTCAATTTGATGTTACAGTAGTTATTGAAAAAGTCCACTGATAGATACAACGTGCATGTGCATTTTGTAAATACCCATCAAGGGAATCTTTCCCTTGCACTGATTAATACTGGTTGGCATTCAGAAGCTGGGATTTTGTGTACTAATTTTGAGTAAGTCTGCTGGGTTCTCTTTTTTCTTCCCAATTTGCAAACCTTGTTGTGAACTTGTGTGATGTACGAATGAGCCAGCCTTAAGTTTGATGAATGATGCTGCAACTGGCTACACTCCAATCAGAGGTTCGGCCATTTTAGATTTTGTTTTCTTAGGTATCCTGGCCAAACATCTCTGCTTGGAGAGTAGCGACAGACATCAACAGGTAACATACAGTCAGGCAGGTACTGTTACAGTAACAGATCCGTGTTGATGTGAAGCAATACAAATTTGAAGTCCATCAATATCTCTTCACATTCAATGTGCCATGTAATGTCTTCTGTGAACAAAATTTTAAGAGCAAATGTCAGATGATATTTAGTAATATATAAGTGTGCAATGTGAAAACAAAGTTGGTGGACGATATATAAACTCCCTGGCACTTTTGATCAATTGCTTACGTCACGTATCAGTGTTTGTAAACCGTAACTCTCGCGAGATCACGTTGTGAAGTGATTGGTCATTAATTATCCTGATGAAGGCGACAGTGGTCGTCGAAAATTTGATCGCTCTGTAACCCTTGTGTTGGAATAAAGTTCAATGTTTTACTATTTAAGAAGTTGGTGGTTTACAAGACGAATTGCATTGTCCAGGAACTATTTGCACATGTCCATTTTGCAGTGAAGTTCCAAGGTGTGGCTGGTACGATAATTGAAATTTCTGGGGTGTTGCTTGAATACAAGTGTGCAACTAAGTTGCATTAGGTAAGGAAGGAAATGGTGACATGCATTATATAGACGTATGGCTTATATAAAAATTAAATACACGTCAACTAGAACAGTTTTTTAAAATTACAGTGAAACAGGAGGTAGGGTTTTGGGTGTTCGTAGTGCGTGCCCATCGTTATTTGCATATTCAGCATGTTGTCAGTGTAACTTACAGACTGAGGTCTGTATAGAGTGTGATGATATGTGGGTAGGTCTTAGGATGATGGTCCATTTTGGGTACTGTGGAATTCTATTGTTTGAGTGTTTTCCATGCAACTCTTGTCCCAGACATTTTATGTAGTCGTCATTTTAGATGTTACTAAGAAAAATTATGGTGTTTTGCCCCCGTATCGAACCCGTGAGTACTGCTGCAGTACTATAAAAGCCACTACTAAAAACCTACTTAAAATTACCATGGAAGTTCATCTGTGTTGGTAGTAATCATTGTACAATGCTGAACTTTATTCCAACACAAGGGTACAGAAGATTGCAAATTTTCAATGACTGTCGCCTTCATCAGGATAAGAAAAGACCAATCACTTCTGAACGTAAACCCAGGAGAGTTGCGGACACGTGACCTTATTCACATGAGACTAGATGGATAATTATGTGACTCTCAATGGTTTATGTTCGGAAGTGATTGTTCATCTCTTATCCTGATGAAGGCGACGGGTTGATTAGTACTGGTACTTCAGTACAGACTGAGCTAAAAGTTTTTTCCAACACAAAAATTTGCACACTGGATTTTAGAAAATTTCATGCACAATTTTTTAGCCTTCTACCAATACAGTTACCATCTATCATCATGGATGAACTTCCATACCAACAGTGTTTCCTATCCTCTGTTGTAGTCTTACTGAAAGATGCAACAAAAGATTAATGATCTGAAGAAGATGGGATCATGTGATTCATGGCTTTAATGTCATACATTTCTTGTGCACATGTACATGTACAGCCAACAGCATGATGTAGTTGGATTCATCCTAAATTGTAGCAGCAGGCTTTGCAACCAGAATTTACAAACAACTGAAACCTGCTACAAGTGATTGACAGAAATCACAAAAATGACCTTCATCAAAAGTGATCTACATTGTAGCATCACTGTCCATCTTCAACTGGCATAGTTTTAGAAAAACCAGAAAAAAAAAGTTCTGTTTTGTTGACCCTACTGGTCATAATATGGAGGAATGATTTCAAACTGTGAGGGTTAATATCCAACTGAAGGTGCATTATCATAATAGCCTGGGTGCCATCCTCTGTAGTTTCCACTAGTTCAGCACAAAGTACCAAATTGAGTGTAGTTTTTTAAGTGTGATGCTCCCTTTCCACCTGATCTTTGTGTTCTGTTTAAATGCTACCACCATTGTGCTGACATAGCTGATGATGTTACAAATTTTGGATTTCACAGTTTCTACTCAATATGCACAGCATGTTTAGAATCATGATTTGGAGACATTTATAGCTTTGTAGTTGGCAGAAACTAGTGACTTCCAACAAATAATATTTAGAACATACAGGACAGCATACAATATACATGTAGCTGGGAACGGCTGAAGTAGATCTGAGACATTTTATGATAATTGGCCACAGTAATGAACAGTTACTGTAGGTTACAATAAGATATCAATGAGCAGATTGCAGTTGGGCCATGGTCCTGTGACTTGTGGGACCCACATACATTATACAAGACCTTTTAGTGTCCTGAAATAAAAACTGGACATTGACTTTTAGAATTATGATGAAACTTATTGAGCTATTCTATCTTGATCAAGAGTCCATACAAGACTGTGGCCCCTCGTTCCTTGGTGAACCATTCTATTTCATTGTTGTCAAACTTTGGATCAATGGGTTCATTGGCACCGATGGTTTGAGGCCCTGTCTGATAGCAGCCAGGACGGATGCACACCTGGAAGGCCACCCTGGCGTGATGGGTCACCTTTGTCTTTGGATCAATGAATCTGTGGGAGAGAATTAATTAATATTATTATAATTTGGTTTAGATGGTGACAGACATGTAACATGCAGTACTACTCGTGAAGTTAAATTAAATACATTCTGATGAACACTTACATGTAGTTTACCAGTTAACATACTATACACTGTTAAGAAACCATGTACTACATGATTGTACTGTGTACATGTGAATGTAATTGCATGCAGCCCAAACTGTATCAAAATCTTGTCCTTGGAGTAAGCTTGATGCATCACATTAATTTTGTGGCAAAATACACACGTAGAGTGTTACTTGAGCATACTAAACAGAAACAAGGCAAGATTAGGCCACACAGATTTAACTTTATGGATGACATCCTCTGAAGACCCCCAAACTAGTGCGCGCAGGCGACTAAATTAAAATTCCGGACAAAAATAAAAATGCTACTAAACCACAGGAATACAAAGCTGGTATTGTGAATTAGCGGCAGTACACAGCGACGTACATGAATATGACAAGATGGCACATACTGGCTTTATGTGGCATTTCTGAATTGGCACTGTACGTGCATGTATGTACTGAGTTCTTGAGTCGTGGAGCTTTGGTTGCCTGGGTGCTGTTCTCCAGAGTTACCATCGGCTCCGTATTGTTGCTAACTACGATGGACTACTCAGGCCTAGAGCCAGGCCAGAGCCTCAGAGGACGTGATCTTTTTTTTTTTTTGAGAACAGGCGAAAATCAATGTGCGCGTGGATGTCATCCATAAGATTAAGTCAGTGTGGCCTTACTTAATAAAAATGGGGAGCTCATGAGACATACTTGTAGCGCTGAGCGTACGTATCATGTCCAGCATACTTCACTGTGGGGGACAGGAAGATCTGGGTAACATCTGCAGTCTGAGGTTTGTTCTCATCATTGGAGTGCCCCTCCCTGTCTGGCACTGCAACCCTTCCAGTCATCATGATGTCTCCTGGAAACATGTACTTCACAGTAAATGAACGTACAAAAAGCTAAAATTGAATGAAAGGAGGGTGAAACTTCCAAAGGTGCAACATGAAGCACACCTTTTGTACAAGGCAGGCAAAGGTTATGAGTAAGGGCAAGATCTGTTCTGTAAAAGCCTGAAGAAAACCTCTGTCCAAATCTACTTTAACTTATCAAGTGGAATTAGAACTATATTACATGTAACATCAATGATTATGGCATTACACTGTAGTCCTCCCAGACAATAACCCAAGTCAGATTTTACTATTTTTAGGTCATATCACATAATTTTTATGAAATCGTTATCATCATCGTTGGCTTTTGTAAGGATGTTGGCAAACAAAAGTTCAGCTATGAAAATAACCAGCTACTACACATATCGGTTATGTACAAGCAATGTTAGTGTAGCTTTCTTTAATCAATATGCACATATCCTTTTAAGATGATGATGGTTAGCATATTCTGTTTAATCATCATTTTCCTCTTCCAAAATTACACAATGTTACAAGTACTAAATTCAAAGATCAAAATTCTTTCTACTGGAAGCATTTACTGATTTATTATGCAAATGCTGTCCACATAATTTATGTCTGATGATGTTTACCTCTTTATAACCTAGTACTTATGTTGCTGGTATAACATTTCCATTATTTAGCACTACGATATGTAACTGTTACAGCACTAACAAATTTCAACACACTTCTGATGTAATTAGGTCATAATTAACAAACTTAATAAATAGAATTGATGCTTGTCTTACCTGGTTGAACGTTACCTGGTATGAGAAGTTCTCCGCTGTCTAAGATTTTCCTAATGGCAGCGACAGACGTCCCATGAAAGGCGACGTGCCACTTTTCAAACACATTCAGCATCTCTGCTCTGGGAGGTAATCTGGAAACCAAGCATATCACATGGACACACGATTTCCAACATCTTCAGATTCCAAAATGGAATTTTGCGGAGTTTATGAATTCTAATATTTCTACTGAGATCTTGAGTCGTGGAGCTTCGGTAGCCTTGGTGCCGTCCTCCAGAGTTACCGCCGGCTCCATATTGTCGCTAGGTATCAAACACTACCCAGGTGTGGCCTTACTAGTATTACTAGTAATCTCCGAGCAGATTTTTCTGGAGCCATGACAGTATATATCCAATTAGAAAAACAGTATCCAAAGGGCTACTGAAAATATAACAGCTGACACATAATTTACAAATACATGAACTATATTTTTATCAACATCCAATTGCTGCAAGACTGTACATGAATACAGTATACAGTATACTTTTTTTTAGTATTACATAAGCTTGAAATTTTCAAATAAACCATTCATTCATTCCCATCATGAAAAAGGAAAAACAAAAACTTTCTTACCTCAGTGCAAATCTGCTCCATCCGAAGGGCAGTGCATAATCTCTGGGAGGATCGCCTCTCTTGACATACGGCTCATCCCCACGCAGCTTGTGACACGTCTCACAGTAGCACAAGTTGTACTTGGGCTCTGGGTTAAAATAACCCTCTGTGGAAAATGACAACAACAGAATGATTATGATGGGATAAATTAAAAACCTTATTTATGATACATGTACACATGTACGTTAGTGATAATCATGGTAAACATTCGTAAGAAAATTCAAACTCTACTACTGGATCAGTTAACGGATTTATTTCCGGACGTTTCGAGTGACATCCATCACTCTTCTTCAGCGTCACAAATGAACAGAGAACCGATTCACTCTTATATACAAGTAACTAGAAAAACCGGTTAAACAACAAGGTCCGTAAGAAGCTTTATCATGTAAAAGAACGGTTCACTCAATGTACAGGAATTAGAACTAGAAAAACCTGTTCAACAACCGTAAGAGTCTTTGTCATGTAGGGAAGGTTCCTATGGTAAGAAATTACCATAGGAAAAAGTTACTGTCCCTTGGGCTGTGGCAGGGCGGGGTCCCATGTGCTTGAGAGTTCAATGCGCAGTCCCCCCTTCCTGTTCAGGGTGGGGTTGTAGATGCGCTCATAGATGGCCTCCTTCACTCCGCGCTCGTACCAACGTGGTTCACGGTCGAGGATGTCGGTTGCCTCTAGCTTGAAAGAGTGTCCCTGGTTGTGTTTGGTGTGATGGTAGATAGCAGAAGAGTAGCCGCTTGCTGTAGCCCTGCAGTGTTGTTTGTATCTCTCCTTCAGAGGTTGGCTGGTTTCCCCGATGTAGGTGTCATTGCAGTTAGGTTCCTCGCATTTGAGTCTGTAGATCACCTCTGACTTGATGCCTTTCTGTACGCGGTCTTTGGGGTGAACCAGGTTCTGTCTTAGGGTAGAATAGGGCTTGAAGTTGGTGCCGATGTTGAAGCCCTGGAGGATGCGTCGCAGTTTCTCCGATATTCCTTCGATGTAAGGGATGGTGATGTTGGTAGTGTTCTTCTTGTCGAGTGGTTTGCTTCTTGGTTTCTTAGACTTGTCGGTAGGTTGTAGGGCTTTGTTGAAGGTCCAGGTTCGGTACCCACACTTGTTAAGGGCGTTCTTCAGGTGGCTGTGTTCCTTGGACTTGGCTTCATCTGAAGTGATGATAGTGTCCGCTCTGTGGAAGAGGGTCCTTATGACGCCCATATAACTTTTTCCTATGGTAATTTCTTACCATAGGAACCTTCCCTACATGACAAAGACTCTTACGGTTGTTGAACAGGTTTTTCTAGTTCTAATTCCTGTACATTGAGTGAACCGTTCTTTTACATGATAAAGCTTCTTACGGACCTTGTTGTTTAACCGGTTTTTCTAGTTACTTGTATATAAGAGTGAATCGGTTCTCTGTTCATTTGTGACGCTGAAGAAGAGTGATGGATGTCACTCGAAACGTCCGGAAATAAATCCGTTAACTGATCCAGTAGTAGAGTTTGAATTTTCTTACGAGTATCGTTTACCTGGATGTCTAACCTTCATCAACGTGCATGGTAAACATTATTTGGCAAATGGATGAGAGAAGAGATCCTGTAGATATAGATGTACATGTAGCACAGCAATTTTTGTAACACTTGCTCCTTCTATCCTTGTACCTCAGTTATCTAAATTAGTGCATTTGGCCCATGTAGGCCATTGTAGGGTGTGAATATGCAATATAAAGTCCATTGTAATTGTCACTAAGACTAAGAGCATACAGTCATACATACATATATAGTACATAGTTACATAGTACATATGAATCTGTTTAAAATGAATCTGTTTGGGTAAGAATTAACAGAGCAGACTATATGTGAAGTTAAACATTATGCATTTGCGGTAAACATTAAAAAAAATAATACATGTATGTATGCATGTATTTTATTCATTTTAAACAGAATTCATTTTACTAGTAGTACTTGTCTAGTATATGGTAAGGAATCCCTCCTGTTATAAAATTGTAACATGATCTATGAAACGTCTAACGGACATTAGATATGATTTAGACATTGCTGAACAAAGGCCAGTCAGAAGTAGACATTCAGTAGACATTTTATTGAAAAACAACATCAAAATAACCCAAGGTGGACATTTTATATCCATAGTCTCTTCACACGTCAGGTAGGGACACCCCTAGGAGACAGTCCTTTGTTTAGCACAATGCGCACTTATAAAGATATTAGCATCTGTCCGTTAATTAATTGCATCCCACCCTCTAAATTGCCTTGGCTTTGTGCAGTGCTTTTTATATGAATGCCAGTTTTCACACTTTTTTCTAAAGACATTCTGACAGACACCTCATGAACAATGGAAAACACAACAAGCAAGTCCTCCCCAAAAAGACCTGGGAAAGACATTCTTACAAATGTTTTTAAAATGTCCGGAATTTTCGAGAATGTCCAGTGTCCGTTAGCCGTTTTATAGACATTTTTGGCTCTACCAGTGATGTTTCCTCTTCCGTTCCAAACACCCAAGGTCATGTGAAGTCTATCACCATGGTAACTGGTGTTGGTTTACCGGTACATCATGCTGCAATTTTATAGCAGGAGGGATTTAGACTCCTTACCATATACTAGTACATGTATATGAATCTGTTTGGGTAAGAATGAACAGAGTAGACCATATATGCGAGGGACGGACGTTAAGCCATGCAGTGAGTGAGTGAGTGAGTGAAACATTATGCATTTGCTTTGTAAATGTTACCTTAATTTCTAGTATAGTTTATCTTTGTGTTCAACCACAAAACTATGGGACTAAAAAGTTAGATATAGAATTCTGCAGCAGGTTTAGTCCCTTACCTGGTAGTCCAAGGCAGTTCTTGAATCTTGTGCAGAGGTTTTTGTACTCACAGTTGCGAACCACAGCAGGTGTGATGGGCGGGCTGCCAACAACACTCTCCTTCATACCTACCAAAAAATAACATTATTAATAAGGCCACGCCAATTTAATTTGTTGCTTCTTGGATCGCCCTGTCCATTTTTTTAAGTCTCTTTCCAGCTTTCATCTGCTAGTTATGTTATTTCCAGCTTCCATAGCTGTTCTGAGGGAAGGTTGGATGAATACTTACCATCCACCATGTCTGCTTTCTCTCTGTTGTCATTCTCAATCATATCATCTCTAATTATTGTAATCTGAAACACACAAAATGGAAGTACTTTGAGAGGCAGCAAGGTATTCAAGAGTCGTGAGGATGCATAATATGCAATAAAGGATGCTGAATTCAAACTTATCACAACTTGAATGATGAACTGGATCATAACTGCATGTATCTGGTAGCTTCATGATCAAGACAACATAAGACATTATGCATGAGGCTTTGTTGATTTATATAACAAGTTATGGATGACATCTGCATGTGCATGACTTTGTGTCTGTTTCCAAAAAAAAAGTTTTAAATTATAAAGAATATTCAAATTAAAAATTATATTGGCAAATGATATGTGGAATGTCAACATCAATTCCAAAGGAAAAGAAAAAATGTTAAGAAATGAAAAGTCTATTAGTAATTATTTGCCATTATGTGTGTTTAGTCATGTGTTCAACCTTCATGACCACATGAGATTTCATAATGAAGGCAACCTTTATTTTTGCCAGACATTTTTTTATTTCCATGCTCACATCAGTTTTGGGGTTCCCAGAGGATGTCATCTATCTATAATCAAATCAACATGGCCTAATATAATATATAAAAAAAATGACAGTAGGACCTTATAACAAACAAACTTGAGTTTTACCTGCTCACACTGACCATATAGATCAATGACCACATAGCATGGCTGAGGGATGTCATGGGCAGCCACGCCCTGGTCTACACCATTCACAAACAGATGGAAGCATCCATTCAGGTCTACCATCACTCCAACAAGATGGCCGACATGGAGACTGTCCAGGTTTGGACCATACTGTTCCCTCACCTTTCCATAAGACAGGAAAATATGCAATCAGGCGTCTAGTTCTACATTGTGTTCTTGTGAATTGGGCACAGCGCATACATACATTGTATTCGATTGAAAATATTCAATGTAAATCAAATCTTTTAAAAATCTTTCCTAAGGCCACACCAATTTAATTTCTTGCTTAACGGATTTGCCCGCTTCAATATTTTCTGATTTGAAAATAAAAATAAAAATTCAGAATCAACTGCAAAATGCTCATATTTTGCTGAACAGTTCAAAACAGTCCTTTTCATCCTAGTTGTTACAGCTATTCCATCTTTCAATGCAATAGTATCATTAAAAGTTCAAAATTCATTGTTTAAATTTTAAATCAGCCTGGAGTGTTGACTTTATGGCTCCTATCGTACCATTTTGGGCCATAATAGGATGCCTAGGCCTGTTTTTATATTTTTTTTTCGCCCGCCCGCTCCATTGTTTTTCTAGAAAAATCCGTTAAGCAAGAAATTAAATTGGTGTGGCCTAATGCTTCCCTTTGTCATCTAAACATCTATAATGAATGTCATCCTTGTTCAGGCAGCAAAATTCGGTTTCTTCAGGTGTTTAGGGTAACTTGGATCCAAATTGACGAAATTATCTAACTTAATTACTAGTAATATAAGGGCAGCCAAATGCAATTTCAGGGCAGCAAACAAATCTGGATGAGGAAACCTGTTTGATATTACCATTTACTGCCATTTCTGTCCTTATTTCATACATAAAGCATTTGAAAATGGCCCCAACTCAAGCTACACTACCAGGACCGTAAAATTTAACGAACTTTTCGGTAGCGTGTACACGTACACGGCGAATGCACGATCGTGTGTTCGGCGTGTTTACGTTTGGGGTGGGCGGGATTTTGGGGGCCAGTAGGGCGGGGAATATTCAGAATATTCATGTTTCAGGCACCGTGTACACGGAATATTCATGAGAATATTCATGAAACAGCACGATTTACGGCAAAAAAAACAACAACGCATCGCCGCGCCAAGGCAACTGCGCCGCATGCGCAGTGTTTTATTTTGGCAGAGATGACGTAAATACCGTGTAGAATCCTTTCATATGAAGCTAACAACAAAATACAAGTACCATCCAAAACAACTAGATTGCCCAGTAACACAGTCTACATGATTATTTTGAGCAGGAAGTGCGATTCTGCTTCCTTTCATCGACCATATTTGAGCGAGCGATGATGTACGAAGTCCCTCCCACCGGGCGCACGTTCTCATGAACGTCTCCCGCGCCTTTGATAATACACATTTACTGTACCACGCCTGCGAAGGGAAGAAAAAGCAGCAGCCGCTTTGGTAGTTTTATTCACGTGTGTCCGACACTGAAGTTCTGATAATACCTGTATGTGTCTTACCACGTTTGCAATTTATGCCAAAGTCTCAATATCTAAAAAAAATGCATATCAGCCTCGCAAACATCAACAAATCATTCAAAAAAGCAACGAGTCCTTCGCCCACACGGCGTGCACGCGCCGTGCGCACGGCGTATTTACGGTGAGATACTGAACACAGACAGAGTACGTGCAGTAAATGAGCTTTAATATAGGGCGTGGTTTCGCTTCAATAGCAATAATTTCCCTATCAGCATTTGTATTCTAAAATTACCATGATACTTGTTTTAAGTTATTTTCATGTATCTGTTGACAATTTGTGGATAATACATGGGATTAGTAGCGCAGCGGCTACAAGCCGTGGAGCCGAGTTTATTCAGATTCGAGCGCAATCAACTCGTTGGAAGTTGTTGGAACGACTAGTTGGAAGAAATGATAGTTGCGTGGTGTTGGAACTTGGAGAATGATTGCTGCAAGGTTGAGAATTAAACAAAAGCCGACAGAAAAACTGGCAGACATTTTGCCACAAAAACGTACGCCACAAAGAAAGATCAATGACCGTGCCTAGCGAGTCGAAGTCAGCGGCGTTATAAAAATTTTCTGCAACTGCTATGCTGAAGCTACGATTTGATCATGAGCGCTGTGACAAAAAAAATAGCGGGGTTTGACACTGTTTGTTCCTGAATAAAACAGAGCTTGTAGATTACGTGATACGCCTGTGATTTTTACGTCCATGCTTTGGCCAAGTCTATTCAGTTTATTCGTTCACTATTCCCACGGCTGCATGTACTTGATTGACAGGCGGTTCCCTTTGAAAAAGTTGCCGCCGGCAGCCGTCGGCGCCCCAGAGTCTGATCGGCCTACGGGCCGAATAATTCAATTATCTGAGCAGCCAATGAGCACTGAGAAAAATGTTTCGTCCATCTTCGCTGTTAAGTCGATCTTCACCGACTATAATCGAGGTTCTACGAAGAATCCCGAAATTTGTCGAGTGTATACAGCGGTGTTTTCAGCTTGTTGCAGACGACAGGATCGCAAGACAGATGATTTGTGACATTTCAGAACCGAGAAAAATCTGCAATACACTGATATTTCTGCATAAAATTAACGAATATTTAATGTACTATGGAAACGTCAGTCCTTCATTCCGTGAGGCTGAAACAGCTATGTCAGACTATTATGAACCAATTATTTCCTGTCGTGGATATTCGCCGTGAATATTCGACACGTTCTGGACTGTGTACTGTGTGTGCCGCGAGTAAAACTTTCAAGCGAATACACAATAGTTCTAGAATTGCAGTGCAGCACCATTCTAGAAGTTTTACAGGGTGATCAGATTCCACTCGATAATACTAGCTTGACACTGGATTCACGCTTGCGTCCGACCCGCAACATGAGAAAAATCATGACTCATTGTGAGATACCGTAATTTAAAAAAAAGTAGAGCTGCCGAAAAATTTTACTTACCTGTGAAAACAAGCAAGCTCCCACTGAAATCACCTCTTTTCACATTTTGGGGGGACACTACTTACCTCTAAATTTATTGCGTAAGATCCATCGGGTGTGTAAACAACATTCATTTTCATTCAACAAAAAATGAGCTGTAGCTGTGATCTGTATACTAGTAATACTTGAAGTAGCACCCTAGTACAATCATTCAATCCAAGAACAGGACGTAGTTTGTAACATTTTGTAATGTTTCTGACACACGAAAAAATGCTGACTAATTTTCTAGTAATTTATTTTCGATACTTATACATGACTGTGCTTTCAATAGTACGAGCAAGGAGGTTCAAGTTTTTTGTATGAAACGCCTACCAAAAAATCAGTTATTAGAAGTCATGGTAGTATTACAGACTAACTAATGTTGGGCAACCAAACACATACATAAACGTTGCTTAAACAACTCGTCCTTGTTTCTTGCAACCCCCTATGTTTTACCAAGGAGATTTTCGGATGTTGTCGTCATTTTTATTCGTGATAACAAAGTAACAAAGAAGTTAACTGGGAAACGTGACCCTGCGAATTCAAGTTTATATACAACTTGCGTATCCGCCACGGGTACAGTACGCCGAGAAAAAGCTTTCGAACCGTCGTTTCTCAGACCAGATTTCTTTTCACAAAATAGAAGAAAGGGGATGTTGCATTTGCATCAGGGCGACAATGATAATTATTTTTTGTTTGACAATACGCCCGCGTGTTTGACAGTGCATAAGAATAGTGAATAAATTACGGGTTTTCTAAGAGTGGTGCACTTTAGTGGTAACAACAACAGACATCTGTGTTTAGATTTTGGTCGATTTCGTATGTTCTCTTACTAGTTCAGACGAAGATTTCTTTTGCCGAAGGTGAAGAAAAATCTTCTTTTCTCTTCAAGCGAAGACAGACTTAGATTCTCAGACATCTTTAACATGGTCGATATTACAATACACATTTCTGTCTGGCACTGTCTGTCCCTAGCTCCGCATGAAAAATATAACAAAAAGCTGTTACAGGTATGCATCAAATGTCGAGTCCAAATCGGATTTTTTCATCGCGGAGGTTACAAAAAGTTCCACGTGTTTTTCTGTTTTCACACTTAGTTAAATAGGATAGCAGTGAAGAAAGATATTTTCCTATTAAAAATATCTGCGTGAGAACAAAATACATGTTCTTTAGAGTATCATTTCTTAGTTACTTGTGTCCAAAAGGCTACTACGACATATAGTACCAAGGTCGTTGCTAGTACTTGCCTCTGTTAATATAAATGCTATGTTCCCTTTTGTTTGTACAGGCACACAGACATCGATCGTCTGAGCAAGTTGGAGGAAAGCTATCCATGCCGTTAGGCCTTGCGGGGGAGATCTCTTTTTACCTCCTTGCTCTTGCCAATATAGAATTGTTTTGGCCAATCAGATCTGTTTTGGTTTTTGTTCCGTTTTGACTTACTGTTTGCTAGCCGGCTTGATACTCTGGGAATTATAATTTTACTAACGTGGGGATTCACACATGTCAACAGAATTCAATCAACCATGGAGGCTCTTTTTTCTACCTCCATAAATCAACAAAGCGAAATATACAAACATTTCAGTCTCAACACTATATGTTACTGGGTACAAGAAGGTGCAATCTAGACTAGAGTTAGGACAAACTATGATCGCTCCAAAAACGATAATAAAAAGAACAAGTCGGCATGTGCATGCAGTATTCTCCCTCGCTCGTGCAGTTTTAGTCTAAGCACCTGTATGTATAAAAGAGAACATACAAAAAGTTAATAACCTGTCAAAATATATCTTATATAAAAATGGGGGGTTGTGACCCCGAGACTTTTCCAACAAGTTCTGTTATATTCAGTGAGAGCTGTCGACGATACAAAAGAAAACATGACGCGCAACGGACTTGTACACCTGGTACTGAAGCGATCTTTGGCGTCTCCGACTATCACTATCAGACACAAACGGTCCATATTCATTCTTCTATAAATTAGTACTAGACAGTATAATCTGCACAAGGAGGTTTAATCTGAATGATTAAAAATATCCGCAGCTTTACGTAGGTTACACATACTGACAGAAAGTAGACTGCAGTAGAAAATAATCAAAGCTCCTTGTGTTTAAATCTTTAAGTTCTAACCTGCTTGTTTTATGTTTGTTTTTGTTACCAAATTATTCCGCATCTAATAGTGGCCGCCGTAGAATAAAATAGAAGCCCTGAAACATTTTATTGGCAGCGTAATTTCCTGTACACCGACAACCTCCTTGGTAAAACAGAATGTCCGGCCACAACTTGGCACGCGTGTAGCGAAAGTTGTACCGACTTCTTTGATCTGAAACTCGAACCGCCCCTTTCGGCGGTTGCGTCGGAGTTCATCAATCAATTTTGACAGGACTGGCCATGGGGCGCCGTGATGTCTTGGGAGAAATGTTCTACTACGAGATGTGTGTGAATTTTGACTTTCAATATCAGGATTACTACTCCATTCCTACAAGAACCCTGACTTCATTTTTGAAAACCACTGTTTTATATAAAGCGATTTGGCGGATGCAATAACTCATGATGTGTTTATTCAATACTTGATTGATATAATATAGAAAAAAAAAACCGTGGTCTTTCCTCCCCGTAAGCACATATTCAGCCCCGTGCCGAACAAATCACTGGCTTTTCATTTTTGTGTTGTTTACTCGCGCCGCCTCGTGGCCGGCCGGCCGCATCAATGAGGTTTCTGCTGGCCGTTTAAACGTCATCTTTCGACCAGTTTACTAGTATATCATTCACGCCGGGAAGGGCCTAAATGGGTTTGGAAAATTTTTTGACCCGGGGGGGAAGGTCCTAGGAAATCTTTTAAACACTAATCCTCACCGCTAAATATTGTACAATAGAGCATTACGCAATCCGTTTCGGCAGCGCGGGCCGCGGGGAGCACATGGCGACGTAGAGGAAATCGGCAAATTATTACGCTGTGTTTGCGGGATAAATGCCGGCACACGAACTTTAATTATTATCTCCAAAGAATAACACAGTTCCTATACGAAAACAGCTGGCCCAAAATGTAAACGAAAGGCAACTTTCGCCCGCAGCTGACCGGTAGATATAGGATTCTATTCGTACATATCGTAATGGACACACAATATCGCGACATTGCGCGCTGACGTGACCGGTATACAACTGTCGTAAAATCAAACGTAATTATTTCTTGCCTGAGGCTATTGACAGGATCGTCCTGTCAACAGCAGGAAATACTGCACTGCTGACAGGATCGTCCTGTCAATAGCAGAAAATACTGCACTGCTGACAGGACGATCCTGTCAATAGCAGAAAATATTGCACTGCTGACAGGACGATCCTGTCAATAACAGGAAATACTGCATTGCTGACAGGATCGTCCTGTCAGCAGTGCCATTTTTGACACTGTTGACAGGATCGTCCTGTCAGCAGTGCCATTTTTGGCACTATTGACAGGATTTTTTAAATCTTCCATTTTAGGCTCTATTGACATGATTTCTTCTTTGTTTTCATTTGTTTAACCAGTCAGAAGGCATATGCTACTGTACTGCAGATTAGGCGTTTCACGATGGCGGCTATCATCACGTTAACTGAGTTATCAATACAGAGTACTCCAGCAGATATATGTCAAAACTAGACATGTTCAAAATATAAATACAAGCGAATTTCATGCATAAGCTGTCTGAAATACGAAGGCAGTTACATAAGATGAAGACAATAAAAAAGACAAAAAGAAGTTGATCTCTATCCATTATTTATTCTTTCAACAACTTTGAAATCAAATGGAACAAATCCAGGAAAATACCGCTGGTGTGGCATTTCAGCTAGCCGGCCCGCTAACAACAACAGCCCCCTGGCGCGCGTATCCAGCTGGCCACCGAATTTTACCGGCCCCACTGGGCCCCACTCTGCCACAGTACCGGCAAAGGCACGCTGCAGGGCCTGGCACGCTGGTTAGTGTTACTGGGGGCGGGTTGTTGTGTTGCTGTTAGCACGCCTGACGGTTAAGAACCCTGGGTGCCCCAGAGTCCGGCGTTTATTTGGCGATAGATTTCGGGAGAAACCGTATTTGTCCGCTACCATTATCCACCCAAACCCCTTCGTCCACGCGAAGCCCTCTAACGCCTCATGCGCGAGGAGATAATTAGACCCAGTGTGCCAAGTAGGTCTGCCGGGAGTTATAATGGCTTCCCATGACTTTTACTTAGGAGATAGACACTCGCGCGCGGGGTGGCACCCAGGCCTGGTGGCACCCAGGCTAGCCCGACGGGTACCCGCCGGTGGACCGCTGTGTCATTCCCGCGGCGCCGGCTGTAACAGGCCTGGGCTGTAATGGCTAGCGCTTACTGTCGCCCGACTAGCCTCTACCAGGCACCGTGGATCGCTGGAAAAATAATAGAAATTGGCCGAAATAAAGGGAATATATACCAAGGGAGTTAGCCGGCCAGAGAAGCTCCAATTGGCGACCTTGGTATATATACCCTTGGTATATATCGGCCAATTTCTACTATTTTTCCAGCGATCCGCGGTGCCTGGTAGAGGCTAGTCGGGGCGACAGGCACGCACTGCCGCCGCATTGCTTACGGGAGGCCAGGCGCGCGCTACCGAGCGGGGGATCAATGTATGCACGACGATCTGCAGGGGCCGCAGCGCAGGATCGTAAAAAATGGCCTAATAGCATACATAATAACACCTACATAAGACCTACACGAACCAGCGCCCACCCCAAAATTTCCAGTATGAAATAAAAATACCAAAATTTTATCGATCCTGTCAATAGTAGAATAATTTGTACTGCTGACAGGAAAAATCCTGTCAGCAGTGCAAATTATTCTACTATTGACAAGACGATCCTGTCAGCAGTGCAGTATTTTCTGCTATTGACAGGACGATCCTGTCAGCAGTGCAATATTTTCTGCTATTGACAGGACGATCCTGTCAGCAGTGCAATATTTTCTGCTATTGACAGGACGATCCTGTCAATAGCCACAGGCTTATTTCTTTACCGTGCAGACCAGCGGCTCATTATCGGTATCCCAGTGATAATGAGCTGACTCCCCGCTGATCTGGACTCCGCCCCAAATGTGCACACGGTGTGTGTACGAACGTGTACACGCCGTGCGTTTGTTTGTGTAACAGCGTAAATCGTTAAATTTTACGGTCCTGGTAGTGTACATGAGGAATCCCTATGTTTTGGTACCACCAATAAATTACTAGTATCATACCTAGAAACAGCCTACCATACAAAACAAGCAACAATTTTTTAGTGACATAATTTTTGCCTCACAGATATCAGTATGCTGTGGGATAGGGTTACAAAATATGACTGGAAAAATGAATTTGAAAATCTAGTTTTACTGGCTGTAAATTACTTTTATTCCACACCAATTTAATTTGTTGTTTCTCATGCACCCCATGAAGCCGGAAAATATGAGCCATGAAGTGAACATACCAGGCTGGTTTATATTAACATATATATAAACAATAGATTTCAAACTTTTAATGAAACAAAATTGCATTGTTACATTGAAAAACTTAAGAAAAGGACTTTTTTCAACCGTTGGGGCCAAAATATGTCCCATGACATTTTGCTTGAGCATTTTGCAGTTAATTTAGAATTTTTTTTGCAAATCAGATAAAAATGGACAGGGCGATCCGAGAAACAACAAACTAAATTGGTGTGGCCTTAATGTTAATCCTCTCCCTCCCTGTCGTACCTTGACAGAGTTGTTGAAGAGGGCGTTCCCCTGGATGATCCAGGAGGATTTCTTGATGCCCACAGCTGTGAGAGGGAAGCTGAGTTTGTCTGGAGTCTGGCCTACAACTCCTATCAACAGTGAGGACGTCCAACGGGGGTTCAACTTGTCTACTCTCACCTGGTCCAGATGGAAGACAACATACATGTATCATTCAAAACAAGTAACAATAGCATGATATTTCATCTGGGTTGGAGGGATACATTGGGCAAAAAGTTAATGCTGTCATCCCAACATTAAAGAGTTACATGACTGTGTACATTGTGTACATACACAAACTTTGTAACTCGGAAATTTGTCTCCAGTCTTCTGTATCTGTATCATATCAGGACACCCTAAAGATGCCGTATACTTTCCACACTCCCAACCCCTGCCATGCACCCTTCAGCCTTAGTATAAAATTTGTATATAATACAAAAATTATGCTGTAATGAAGCAAAAAAAATTGGCAGCCTGTATTCTTCCAAATTTGCACCTCAAAATGCAGTGTTTGAGAACATTTTGAATGAAAAAAAATAACTGTCCATAGGCGACAATTCTCCGTGACGTTTTATATTTTGCAGATTGAGAACAGTAATAGTGTATGTAAACAGTGTGTGATCACTTAACAACTGGTAACAACGTATAGTAAAATTGGCTAAATCCCTGGTCTAATAATCTAGCCTGGCTAAAAAATCGCCACCTGCTCAGAAGTTTACCGCCCCCATTGGGGAAACAGTTGCAGACTGACTAGTGTAAACACAGGCTACATATAATCAACAACACGTCAATATAAATAGATGAACAAAGTCAGCTTTCATAACAATATCTTTCATTTACTACATATTATTCATTTGACAAGGTATCGCAGTAGGTGCAAACCACGATTCCAAAAGATACAACCATTATGCACAACAGCCACCTAATATCTGCTTAGAGACCCTCGGCTACCAGACAACTACCTAAACCTACGGCCTATTCCACAGCACTGACAAACCTGGAATAGCTGCATACGGGGCAGTGGTCTGCGGCTGACCACGATGCCCTGGTTGTAGCTGGCTGTCCGACAGGCCGTCATGTTGTCGTTGATGAGCTGGATGTTTTTCCCATGATTCCAGTGGAACTCCATACACACCAGCTCTAACGATGTGCATTCTGCATCCAACTGGAAAGGAATCAAACATCACTGAATATTTGCTGACCCAGAAAAAGTATAATCACTTATTAGTTCAAAGGGTTAATATAATTATATACATCCACCCATCTCCCTGTCCTTTTACCATCTAAAGTATCACAAAAAAACTTTCTACTAAGATCACAAAACCCACTCATTATGCAAAACTTGGGAATATTCCTTATCCACTGCCTTCAAAGAAGTCAAACCCCATAACCCAAACTCCATAAGTAAAATTAATGTAGTTACTTTATGTTGATCAGACAGTACGAAAAAATCAGTTGTACAAAAATGTATATTGTTCTCTATTGGTTTTTAAATCAATTTACTTTTTCATCCTGTACATACAATTAGCCTTCAGGCATGATTTTACAAATAAAGTATCATTTATTTTAAATATATTCCCCAATTTGCTACAGAACAGTATGAGTTCTTGAGACTGTAACCAATAGTGGTTGTATACAGTCACATGTCTGCAACTTGAAACCTGGCATGAATTAAAGGCATCCAGTGCAGTTTTTAGGGCTTGGAAACCTGATTTTTCAATATTCTAGTCATTTATCTACATACTGAGTTGAAACCATACTATCCCAATGTATATTGACCGTCATGGAGCAAAAATTCCCAAAATTCTGATGGAAAGTTGTTACTGGAAGGGCCCTGGGCTGATTTTTAGGGTACCACCCAGAAAATAAAAGACTCATCTTGGGGCTTGTTTCGGCAGTTTTAAATGCCCAAAGTATGAAATACTGACTCAAATGTGTTAATGTGAAGCAGTATGTGTCAATATCACAAAGATTGCCTTATTCAGAATATTTCCAGTTTTGCTGCCCTGAAATTGTATTGGATGCCTTTAAAGAACATCAGCCATGACTGCAGTACCATGTTGATCCTCACCTCCAGTGACTCTGTGCTGGTAGAACTGATAGAAGGAGGTCTGTCTGACTCGGTCAGGTCAGAGAAAGATGAACTGATGACTGTCACCTGCTCCACTCGACCATACAGGTCCACCACTGCATACATGTCCTGCAGGAAAAAAACATGACCCAACATCATACTTGCACACATGCAGGCATTAACTTGGTAATTCCATCAGCAATTATAATAAGATTCTTTATTCACAAAACAAAACGTAGAGACTTTTGTATGGTCTTCTACAACTAAAGGTCTAACAAAGTTAAATACATTTATGGGTAACTTCATCCTACAAACAGAATATATATGTATATATGTGGCAAATTACATACAAAATGTATATCAGTGGTAACAGTAAAGGTTTAACTATTCTCTAACATGTAGTCTCTAGTCTCTAAGATTGAAATATTCTTTAATGTATTTTCCTATTTGAGTACTTGGTTATCTCCCCTGAGAATGTAATTGAATTTATCTATAGGATCTAACGTATTGAATATCTATAGGATCTAACGTATTGAAATCAGGCATTGTCTGACTGAGGCTGGTGAAGAAACACAGTTTACCTTTGGAACACTGTTAGCGGCTACCCCCATGTCCTCCCCATTGATAACTATGTGCATGGTGCCATCTGTACATCTCTTCACACCAACCCTGCCTCCAACCTAAGAAAGGTTTGCAACACAATAAGGAGTGGAAGATGAGATTATCAAAGTCAAATTGCCAGGTCAAACAACTTTTAACTAGTTTCATGCAATAATTATTAAATGTTCAGTACTAGATTCGTCTAGACAATGTATGATGGGCTATATGGAATATTTTAAGCCTCAAAGATTGAACAGTTACCATAGGGCATGCAAATATTTTCTTGGGCCACACCAATTTAATTTCTTGGTCAACGGATTTGCCCCCTACATTTTTTTCGATTTGCAAAAAAAAAAAAAACTGCAAAATGCTCATATTTTGCCCTGAACAGTTGAAAACAGTCTTTTTCTTCCTAGTTGTTACAGTTATTCCATCTTTCAATGCGATGGTATCATTAAAAGTTCAAAATTCATTGTCTAAATTTTGAACCTGCCTGGTGTGTTGACTTCATGGCTTTTATCGTACCATTTTGGGCCATAGGATGCCTAGGCCTGTTTTTATTTTTTTATTCTTTTCGCCCGCCCGCTCCATTATTTTTCTAGAAAAATCTGTTAGCCAAGAAATTAAATTTGTGTGGCCTTGTTTTATTTTGTAACAATCCACACTTATTCCACTCTTGCTGAAGTGCTGAAAAATCCTAGTTACTGAATACCGTACATTGTATGCAAAATGTATGTACATGTGGTTCAATGTCAAATTTCAAAATACAATGTAGATATTTCTCCTATACACTGTTATAAATGTACAACTTTAAATTCTGAACAAAATTATTATTAGTCACTAAAATATTTTGGGTTTATTGAAAACCATAAATGCATGTACATGTTTTTAATTTATTACTTACTAATTACCATATCACAGAATATTAATTCTTCAATAATTGTTCAATATTGAATGAATTTGTTCAGGATTCACATGTGTTACATATGCATGTTACATACATGTAACAGACAAAGCCCACTTTTTTTCCAAATTTCAACATTATAATCAGAGTATAATCAACAACCATGCCCGTAGCCAGGATTTTGAAGGGGGGTTCTTCCCACTGCTTGAGGAACCAGCGAGTGCCGAAGGTGCGAGGTTTCTAGGGGGGTCCGGAGGCATGCTCCCCCTGAAAATTTTGAAAAATGAACCTTCGAAAATGGCATTTCGTGCATTTTTGAGAGGATTTCCAAGGAAAAAATCAGAGATAAATTTTTATTCAATGACAAAGGGAGCAGTTGATTCCAGTCCATCTTTTCAAGAAAAACTTTTACATAAAAAGTGGACCAAAAAGTGGACCTTTGAGTCTTGTGGGGGGGTTCTTCCAAACCCCCTGAACCCCCCCTGGCTACGGGCATGATAACCTTTCCAAAAAGATGAAGTTTTGAAAAGCCAGATTGCACAATACTTACCTCTAATCTATCCAGGGTTGGAGCATAGTTCTCTTTCAACATCAGGCCATTTCTCTTGATGCTTGACCCAGACATGACCCAGGTAACTTTGGAGCGCAGGTCGATGGCAGAGGGAGGCAGGTTAGCAGTGGGAGTCACCTCGTATGGTGTGAGCATGCTGAGTCCAATCTGTAAGGACCCAGACCATCGGGAAGATGTCTGCTCTATTCTGATCTGTAGAGACAAAGACATGCTATAATTCAACTTTTGTCTAATAAATAAATGTTTCTAATTGTCACCGTTCAGGGCTCGAAATACTGGGTGCATGTATACCTTAGTGCACCCAAATTTGGAGCTGTGCACCCAATTTTTTCTGTGGGTGCACTGGTGCACCCAAATATTTTTGTAGGTATTTTTGTACATATCAAATCATAATAGTATGCAGGATATTGTTAGCATCCAAGTGTCAGAAAAATAATAAAATCTTTGTTGTTAGTAGTACTTGTTTAAGATTTTGAAGTTAGCTCCCATTTCAGATTCAAGCTCAGAAGAGGAGCAGTAAGATCTGTAATTAGGTTTTGTTTTATATGGTGCACCCAAAAAATTTGAGTGCACCTAATTTTTTTAGGTTGGGTGCTCCCAAAAATGAATTTCAAGCCCTGCCGTTTATGTTGCTTTTTCCCCATGAATGAATACAATACCTTAGTACCACACCAAAAATCACAACGATCTGTCAACTGATTCTTGAGTTATCCTCCACTAAACCTCCACAGGACTTTCAAATGCCTTTATACATTGTAGTTCCAGAACAAGCTGCTAGGGGGCTCAAAAGTATGTCACCTCTTCCCAAGCAACAGAGCTAATGGTATCAACGATCCAAACTCCGTGACCCTAGCATGTCCAGGTCACGAGGTATCCAAACCAGAAATTTCCCTGCAGTACCAAAACAAGCCAACAGGTGGCCCAAAGTCTAATCATTTTGAGGGGTTGTCAAAACCTACCCCCTTATACCAAGTTTCATCACAATCCATCTACTAGTATACCTTTTTGACTTATTGTGCTAAACCACAAGCATGCATGCACCCATGCACAAATTCCACAAAAATAACCTTCTTAGCAAAGGTGCACATGTGAATATGACAAGAAGTGGTTGGCTGCCCCAGGTTGACTGTAATAATATATTCGAATGTATATAAAGAAAAGTTACCTTTACCTCAAACAACTCATCACTTCTGAGAGGCTTCGAGCTGAGTAACAGGCCATGGTTGAAGTTGCGTACTCTGGTGGCCGTACAGCTGTTGTTTTTGAGAGCTACGTTCTTCCCTACATTCTGGTGGAACCTATGGATGGCTCCTGGAACTGGAAGACAACAAATTCTAAGGGTCATACATTGTACAAGTAAGTATTGGCAAGAGCCCAAACCTCTAGTGGCAGCTGGTTTGTAAGCAACATTCTTTCCCCATGCCAAATTTGAGGTCATTTGACTTAGGTAGCGACATACGTGTAATAGTACAATTATACTAGTATACTTTTGGACTGAAAATGAGAAAATCAAATGATTTATGCCAAAATGTAAGTAAAGTCCTGTATAGGTACGTCATACAAAAGTTTCAGGCTGAACTAGGGAACAGCTCGTGGGGCCCAAATGTTTGTTTGAAAAGAGACAAAAATCAAAGTTAACTTTCTTTTACACCTTCTGACAAACTACATTTTTGTACCACATGAAAGAACAAGTCTTAGAACAAAAGATTTATGATATTGTATTTGTTACACCAATGGCATGTTCTGCATATTCAATGATCTTCACAATCTTACTAAATCTTTTTCCCATCTTTTTTTAACAGATTTCTTTCTGCCACACTGTCTATAATATCAACTCAGTGCACGTGGCTTTACAATATGGTGTGTAAAACAGAGAAGACTAGTAAGACTCACGTGGTGAGGTGAAGTTAAACTGCTGAAGGTCTCCATTAATGAGGCTGTTCTCACTGCCACTGGTGATGGACACCTGGGCACACTGGCCATACAGGTCTATCACAGCATAGATACCTGCACATGGTACATACAAGACTTTCACACCTCCTATAAATCTCTTGTTTTATCTTGTCTCATTGATTACGGAAATAAGAATTTGAGGATCTTGTTTTTATGCCTTTGTTATGATGATGATCCTCCTCAAGAGTTGACTTACAGTCATACACTTGTGCCTCAGACATTGTTTTTTTACCTTCACTGAATGCAGTTACTGTACATTTGTACTTTCAATGATGTTATTTTGAATTTGTGGTTACCTCTTCAAAATCATGACACCAGCTGGGATATGTGACTGTTTTATATTTTTTGTGTACGGCAGAGTTCTTTTAACTTATGAACTTGAAAAACCACGAAAACACCCTTGTCTCTCGTACTGTGAAATAAAGCCAGTGACTCTGAAAGTACAATACACCTCCAGTAATAACTAATACGTGTATCACACGTCATGTACATGTGTACAAAATGTACGGAACCAGTGTGGTAAACTAAAAATCTGCCAGTGACGTCATATCACTGAATCCAGGTCTAGCTGTGTGGCGTCGGGTGGTGTAGTGGTAGAGTGTTTGACTATGAAGCGGGGAGACCAGGGTTCGATCCCGAGTTGTACCCGGGACATGTCTGGACATGCGCCCGACGTTGTGCCCTTCGGAAAGGCATTTTACACAGCTTTCCTCACTCCACCCAGGTGTGAATGGGTACCTAACTTTGGTTGGGGAAAGTTGTATTGAGGTCACCTTGTGGTGCCGAATGGCAGCCGCACAGACCCTTGCTACAGATATGTGTATCGTGTGTTATCTGATTGTGTGATTTGTATTGATTATTATGTGATACCCTGCATCAATTCAGCCGTATAAAAGCTGCGACTGCACGGGTACTGTCAAAAATGTCTATAAAACGTCTAACGGACATTTAACGTTCTCAAATGTTCCGCATATTTTAAAAGCATTTGTAAGAATGTCTTTCCCAGGTCTTTACAGGTTCTTTTTGGGGAGGACTTGCTTGTTGTGTTTTCCATTGTTCATGAGGTGTCTGTCAGAATGTCTTTAGAAAAAAAGTGTGAAAACTTGCATCCATATGAAATGCACTGCACAAAGCCAAGACAATTTATATTGCAGGACACAATTAATTAACGGACAGATGCTAATATCTTTATAAGTACGCATTGTGCTAAACAAAGGACTGTCTCCTAGGGGTGTCCCTACCTGACGTGTGAAGAGCCTATGGATAGAAAATGTCCACCTTGGGTTTCGATGACGTTTTTCAGTAACTATGTCTACTTAATGTTCTCCCGACTGGCCTTTGTTCAGCAATGTCTAAATCATATCTAATGTCCGCTAGACGTTTTTGGCTCTACCAGTGTTTGGACAATAAAAAAAGATTTTTTTAAAGAAGCTTGTTGCTAAAGAGATGTTGTTACCTGGTGGTACCTCTGTGCAGGCCACACCCTGGTCCACACCATTCACAAAGAAGTGCATCTCCCCGTTAGACGTGCGCATCATGCCCAGACGGGAGCCCCCGGTCAGGGTGTCCAGGTCTAACTGATAACCATTCCTTATGGTACTACCATCCTGCATCACAGCAGAACCACTGTAGGGGGGAGAACACAAGTTTGACATGTGCATGTAAATTCAGGAGAGGAAACAAGTTATATAGCCTTCATAGCATGCCAAAAACTGGGGGTTTGGGGGGTCTTTGGGATCTTTTATGTGCTATTTTCTGATTGCATATAGACAACATAACCGGCCTGGTTGAATTACCCACATTTTTAGAACTGGGCTTATCAGACAACAGCTGAAGACCACCAAACCCCCAGTTCTATAAGCCTGCTAAGGAAGAACAAGTTATACATGATGTTGCAACAAACGCCATGATGAGGGTAGCTATAGAGTCCTACAAAAGACCCTCATGGACTCCAGTTGCATCCTGGAGATCCGAAAAATGAAGAAGGATGAGAAAATTGTAAATGTAAATAGAAGAACAAACCAGAAAAGGACATTACAGAAATTAAATGAAGAGATAAAGAAACCACCATCCCATATGTATTACATATCCCAATGGGAAAAAGCAACAAGAGAAGAGCACAAAACGATACAACACTGACATGATAAGAGAAAAGCAAGAAGGCAAACACATGGGGCTGTCTATGACAAACAGGAGCAGATGAACAGAGACAACAACAACAACCACAACATGAGAGCATATCTTGAAAGTTCATCTGTGTTTGGTAGAAATCATTATGAAGCAAGTTTAAACGGCAATTTCCAACACAACAAGTTAGAAAATTTGGGTGAGTCCAATTTGTTGTGTTGGAAACTGCCGGTTAAACTTGCTTCATAATATGAGAGCAAGAAAGTTGTCCTACCTGAGCATCCATGTATCATAATCAATATCAGTCATGGTGTTCGGGAATTCCAAATCATCTGGTCTGATGGCTGTCAAACCTATAACAGAGACATGTTATCTTTCCTTGTAAACAACATTGCACTCATCAGAGACCAACAACTGGGATACTACAGAGATACATGTGCAAAATTTGGGAGCTTATGAATTAAATGTGCTCTACATGTAAGTCATACATGGGCCACGATAACATTTGATATGGGTGTTCCACCCTGTGTGATAACTAAGTCATATCACACTGGGTTTTACTTGGTTATTGCACAGACTTCCAGATGTTCCACAGAGTAAATCAAAAGCAGCTTTCCAACATTCGAATACCGGATTCAGACATTGGAAAAGTTGTTACAATTTTCATCCTGTACATGAGACACCAAATTTTGGCATACTTGCATTGATATGTGTGTTTTCTCAGGTGGGGTATAAATAATATAACACACGGTGGAGTCCGCATTGCCCTTAGTCCCACCCCTCTTTGTGCCACACCTCAGTAGACCTTGACCAGGATGAGTCTACTTCTACTGTATTAACAGTAACTATGTAATACTGGCCTCAAGAGACTTCTCTCATTAACATATCATCATATCAGCAGCCAATCACATACCTGCTTCTATAGAGCCTGACCATCTGTCCACCATTTTTTCAATGACCACTTCGAAAAGCTCATTATCATTCAAAGCTCGGTTACTCATGATGATGGCATCGTTAAACTCTCCCCGAGCGTTAGGTCTGGAGGCTGTTCTCCCATTGTTTGTTATGGTGGCGTTCCTGCCATGTAAATGGTGGAATCGGAGTTCCTCTGTCACACAGTTGTTGATGAGAGGGCTCCGTGGGGAAAATATCCGGTTATGTTCCACATCAGAACTGTCCGTATCACTGTCCGAGGAGAGGGGGGGGACATCCTCTGTCAAGTCAAGGGGTAGATGACAAGCAAAGATTAACCTTCATATACCAATCTACATCAATTCTACATGCATGTACATTTGTATATACACGCATTTTGTACAGTGTATTGTAAAATAGGTGTATGGATTTATTATGTAAACTGTATCTTTGTTACATATTCTGTCTGACCCTTTCCTCAATGAAAAGCGGCTGCTATTCTCCACTCAATGATCGTGACAGTCTTATTGAAGACAACGTAGTCTAGCATTTCCTCATACATCATGCAAATTAGGTCCTGATTTGAATAATGCCTATAATGCACATTAATTATGCAAATTAGGTATTCTGCATAATCTGCATATATAATCAGTATCTGCTGATGTTTCTCTCTTTCTCAGTTTCATATGTCACATGTTTGAAGAGCCCTACTGTATCATGGAATGCAGCAGAGTTTTAGAATTTCCTCATTAATTATGCAAACTAGATACTGCAAAATTGTTTCAATCATGTCAAGCATTAATCCATGTTATTTTGATGTACATATCTGATTGAATAAAACAAGTATATATATAGGACTACAAATATCAAAGCAATATAAATGACTGTCATATTCCTGTTTAGGCCACATCAATTTAATTTCTTGGTTAACGGATTTGCCCGCTTCATTTTTTTCTGATTTGCAAATAAAAATAAAAATTCAGAATCAACTGCAAAATGCTCATATTTTGCCATAAACAGTTGAAAACAGTCCTTTTCTTCCTAGTTGTTACAGTTATTCCATCTTTCAATGCAGTGGTATCATTAAAAGTTCAAAATTCACTGTTTAAATTTTGAATCAGCCTGGTGTGTTGACTTCATGGCTCCTATCGTACCATTTTTGGTCATAATAGGATGCCTAGGCCTGTTTTTATTTTTATTTTTTTTTCTTCGCCTGCCCGCCATTATTTTTCAAGAAAAATCCATTAACCAAGAAATCAAATTGGTGTGGCCTAAGCAGCATATAAAAGAATAGACTACTGCTACAAGTAAGAGTAAGATACTGCGTTACCTGACATGTCCACAATGGTGGCCTGTGCAGCCTGGCCATACAGATCCACTACAGCAAACAGTCCATCAGGAACATTTTGAGCTGCTACTCCCTGGTCCACCCCGTTCACATAGAAATGGAGCGTTCCATCCTGTTTCCTCATCACGCCTACTCTATCATTCACCTGGGGAGGGGGGTGAAAACAACAGCTTAAAAAAAAACGAATTTACTTGACTGCATGTATCATATCAGGGTTCTCACCAGGATTTTTTCACAGTGTAGGGGTCAGGTACAGAAGGACAACTTTCCGCGGCTCAAGCCTGCTTATTGAAGGACAGGTTTTGTAAAGTTAAATTAACTTTACAAAACCTGTCCTTCAATATTTTCCCTACATTCTAATTTCATTCTGAAGGCAGATTCTACATGTACATCTTTTTAAAGATTCATGAAGGGTCCCCCCCAAAACACTTACACTAGTTGAAAGATGGTGTAGGGCGCTAAATAAATCACAACATAGGGGGTCACATGATAGGGGGCCCCTACACTTAAGCAGCCTAGTGAGAACTATGCACATTAATTGAGAACAATGGAACCTAATCATGAAATTTACTGAACTGAACTTTAAGCCCGTCAGTCCGTCACACATAGCTGAATACAGTCTTCTAAGACACTCTCCCAACCATGGTACATGTACATGTAGGTCAGGGGCAAGGTCAGCGGTGGTTGGCTGGTGATCTGCCAGGCCAGCGAATGTTGGGCTGCACCAGCCAATTGTTTAAAACTGTTTAAAACCTTTTACCACAACCACTATGTACCTAACAACTGTTTTAAAGTTTTTAAAACGTTTAACGAAAACCACTATGTACCTTACATTGTAAACAATGGTTTTAAAGTGCGTTTTACCAAAACCACCATGTAACTAACAAATCTTTTAAATGTTACAGCATTTGGATGTGGACGGGTTTTGGCCAAGGTTGGCTTATGTTCAGTAGGTCATTGGTGTTCAGGGCGTGTTCGGCGGTCAAATTTGACTTGAATTTGATTCAATTTGTATAGAAAGGTAGGCGTGGCCTAAGTCTGGCCAGACTGCTCCAGAAGTTTGGGAGCAAGGTTGGGGGAAGATCCTGAATGTGTGACAGGCTAATGTTAACCGCACAAGTCATGTATATTCCAAAAGGCACCTCAAGCTACCATCCAACCAGCATCTTTATATTTTGTACCACTATGTACTACCTAACAATGAAGAGAACAAAAATGAGTTCCTTCTAAATATCTAATAAAACCAGATGTAATGTAATGGTAGCTGATAGAATTCTAGGATGTATAATACCTTTAGTCTGTCTAAGTTATGTCCGTATTGAAGGATGTATAATACCTTTAGTCTGTCTAAGTTATGTCCGTATTCATCTAACACAGTAGTTCCGTTGTGCATGATGCCGTTTCCTGTCATCATCCATGTTCCAGACCGGACATTGGTCATGGTGGAGGGGAACTCCAGCTCAGGGGGGGTGTGGGACGTCAGGCCGATCTCTATCGACCCCGCCCACTTGTCCACCATCTTGTCTATCCTAACTGTGAACATCTCCAGGGTACGTAGCGGGCGGGTTGTGAGGATCACGCCGTTGTTGAAGTCTTCTAGTGCACTGTTAATAATGAACAACAAACAACAATAATGATAATGACTAATAATGAAATATGATAATGTACACATGGCATATTCTAAATACTGTATGACATTGTGTAACAGACGTTCATCTACAAACTAACTGGAGTATTAATGGCAAAACTTTCCTTAACTAAGCATCACAGACTTGTCAGGTGAACTACCAGAGTATTGTTTTACTGTGTGAAACTTGCGCCAGCCTGCCACAGAACTCACAGTTCTCCTTCAATCAAATTACCTGAAAATTTTCAAGCTTATTTCACGCAGCTCTAACTGACCCATTCTGGACCTTTTGGAGTAGTCGTTAATGCACTGGTGTTGTAAGCTGCTGGCTGATTGGGTTTGACTTGGTTTGATTCAGGAGTCAGAGTTTTGCCTGTTTCTACTCACTTCTATATTTGTTTCCTAAATGACACAATGTCCAGCTTACTTGGGTCTCAAGGCCGTCCTGCCTCCATTAATGACAGCAGCGTGGGAACCACATTTGGGATGAAACAGAATCTTTTCTGACTCCTCCAGACTGCTACAGGGTACTGAAGGAACAGTTTCACAGTTACATGCTGAATTACACACAATGTACAAACAATGTACTGCAGTTTCATTACATACCAGTACAGGGCTCGAAATACTGGGTGCATGTGCACCTTAATGCACCCAAAATTGGAGCTGTGCACCCAATGTTTTTCTGTGGGTGCACTGGTGCACCCAAATATTTTTGTAGGTATTTTAATTTGTACATATCAAATTATAATAGTATGCATGATATTCTTAGCATAGCAAGTGTCATAAAAATTATAAAATCTTGTTGTAGTACTTGTTTAAGATTTTGAAGTTAGCTCCCATTTCAGATTCAAGCTCAGAAGAGGAGCAGTAACTGATATGTAATATTATTATTATAGCTTTTGTTTTATATGATGCACCCGAAAAAATTTTTGTGCACCTAATGTTTTAGGTTGGGTGCACCAGTGCACCTATTCCCAAAAATGAATGTGTGGTAGACATGAGTATGAAACATGGCAATATCTGATGAAGTTCATTATTAGTAAATTTTACAAAATGCAGTCGTATTGACAGGTTGAAGTCAGTCTATCCATTTAATTATGTCAATCATCACTTGATTTAATTAAATACAGTCAAAAAATACAGCGTAAATCAGCAACTCCACAGAACACAAGAACAAACCTGATTCGTTGTCAAACCCAACAGTGATGGTACGCAATATGCGATTGGCTCTTCTGTCGATCCTCTCGGACTGAGGCATATGGCGAGGAGACTCGGGATCCACCAGAGTGACCTTGACCGTCATGCCGTACAAGTCCACCACACCGTACACTGACCCGGGGGTGCGCTGGGCAGCCAGGCCTTGGTCAAGTCCATTCACATAGAAGTGAAGATCACCATTGGACTTCCTCATCAAACCAACCACATCTCCTTCCTGTCAATTTAAATATCAGATTAAGTTATAGTTAAAAATTGTGACAAAATTATGCCCAACATTTAACCAACTTTAACCAGGGACAACCTTAAGGCAAACCTTAAGAGCTGTAACATTGATGTCAACTCCTGGGAAGAAATTGCCCATGACAGAACTGCGTGGAGAAGCCAGTGTACACTGGGCACTAGGACTTTCGAGGCTAATAGAGCAGCTGCCATAAAGGAGAAGAAAGAGAGGAGGAAGCAATGCTCCATCCCTGTCCAGTCCTTCCCCTAGGCCTGCAGCATCTGTGGCCGCTCATGTGCGTCAAAAATTGGTCTTTATTCTCATATGAGGACCCACATCGGCAAATGAAGACCTGTTCGCCTACTCATCTGTCGCAGCAACAGGAGATTCCAACAACCATCTCCTACCAAACAAGTTTGATGAGTGCACCACACTGCCTGTACATTGAGGAGGTTATCTTTTTAACTTTCTGTGTTTCAAGTTGATGGAACGACATTGTACAATGCTTTTGATTGATTCTTCTATAGAAATTACTGTTCAAGAAAAACAATCAGTTAAAATGTTGTCTAATTAGCATTATTAAAAAACTTTCATCTATAAGTATAACTATAATTTGTATTCATGACAAAATGTACATTTACCCTGGCCATATTGTTTGCAGAAAATTGACAGTATGCATGCATAATGGTTTTCTTATACGTAATTTCTGTTAATTACAACATGATGGGTCGGCATCTATGACGAAAAGCATGATGATTTTTTTTATTGAGCTACGTGTAATAGTAGTCAGCTTCAGCTTGAACAGACTCCTTACATGTTAGATGAGACTGTTGGAAACAACTCACCGTGAGCTCATCCAAGTTGAACTCTCCATATTCCCTAAGTGTGGATCTTCCATTGGTAAGAACCCCTCCTCCACTCATCATAATGGTTCCTTCCATGAAAACAGAAACTACATGTGCTTACAATGTAATACAGGCAATAAACTGGACAGTGAGTGAGTGAGTGAGTGAGTGAGTGACTTTACGAAAGATCTGAAAGAATCAAGTGATCTAATCAGCTTGCACAATTTGTCTTCTAGCGAGTGAATTCCATATAGAAAATACCAGTAAACAAATATTGTAACCATTCAATATCTTGTCAAGAACACTGACAAACTATATAGGCTGGGGTACCTGTGATAAGGAAATTCACACCTGTCAGGACGTTTTAAGTTATAAGTACATCAAATTTAGACATTTTTTTGATGATCGTCTTCTCTACAATGTAGAAGACAAAAGAATCTAACAAAAAATACATGTATACCAAGCAGGGCTCGAAATACTTTTTTCTGTATGCGTGCGTGTGTGCACCTGTGTAGGAAAAAATTGAAAATTACCTGCACCAGACAAATTTTACCTGCACCACTCAGAATTTAGGAATTATGGATCGTACCAAAAACTGTTAAGAAACCATTGCCATTATTGCTTTTATACAGAGGTGGTAACGGTAAATGCAGCAAATAAATAAAAACCTACATTTTGTACATGTGTCAGTGCAGGTAAGTTGATATCAGGAATACCTGCACAGCCCTGATTTTACCTGCACTAAGTTGCAAATGCACTGTCTGCCATTAATTTTTGTACTGTAAACCTTCTGTCAATAGTAAAAACAGGAAAATTAACAAAAACGAATCAAACTTCTAACCTTCTATTCAGATAGAGATCCTCTGTGACTTACCAGATCTCATGTTAGTCATGGTGGCAGGGAACTCCAGTGTGGCAGGGTTGTGTGTGGTGATGCCCATCTCTATAGAACCTGACCACTTGTCTACAAGTCTGTCAATCCTCACCTGCACACATACAACAATCTTTACTCACACAACAAACATACAGCGACTTTCATAATAGGAATAAATCTGCATAGAAGGTTCATGAACAGTATGGAAGTACATGCAGTGGTCGAAATACTTTTTTTCAGTGCTCTGCAATATTGCAGAAGAGTAAAAATTTTGTTCTGCAATTTGGAAGTACTTTCTGCAAAATACAGAAGCCTCCATACTACAACCTTCTCAAACCGATAATGCCTTTTTTACATCATATATAGCTTTGTAAATCTGTAGCATTACTGGACTGCAGGAGAATTTCAGGTTTATAAGCATGAATTATTGATTGTTATGCAAATTAGTGAAGACATTTTTTGGAAGTCCAAAAGGAAACAGAAGATAGACAAGACAATGATGATGCAAATTAGTGAAGAAGCTCATCCTGTTGTTTCAGAACAGGAGCTTAAGTGTTGTCTGTCCTTGGGGCCTGAGAGTTCTAGCTTGCTAAGTTGAAAACTATTGAATCTGGAGCCTATTTTTCCTGCTGCAAAATTGCAGATTGTATAAATTTTTCCTCCAGTCTGCAATCTTGAAAATCTATCTGCAGATTGCAGACTGCAGACAGGTATTTCGAACACTGATATGTTTTGTATTTCTTATAAAAAATTTTTACTATAACTAAAACCTGATCATTATCTGTCAGTGGAGCACTTATGAATAAAAGTGTATGAATTATCATTATTAAGTAAGTATTTCAAGATAGATCACCCCCTGTTAATTATGTTTCTATCCTGAATTATACTAAATTTATAGCTCACTCTCATTATAACCCTCATACTGTAGAACATGAGTACAAAAAGACTACAGTTCATTATCATTATCATCATCATCATAATCCTCCTCATCAATAGGATTACATTCATCTACCCTTGCACATAAAATCGTATGGAAGTCAGAGTACTTTTTAACTTGCAATATTGAAGAATAAAGTAAGTATTACTAAATTACCTCAAACATTTCATTGTCTCTGATAGCTCTGGTTGTGATCACCACACCGTTGTTAAACTCGTCTAGTGGCCGTCGTCTTTCCGCAGACCTTCCCTGATTGGTCAGCTTCACTAACGCCCCACATCGCTCGTGGAAGCGCAGACTGTCGTTGGACGCTGGCGTGGATTCTGCTTGTACTGCGTTGTTAGCTGTGTCGTTGTTGTTAGCTGAGAAAAAGAATAAATCATTATCAACGCCTTACCGGGACAAAATAACGCTTTCAGTGAGGCCTCACCAATTTAACTTCTTGGTTAACGGATTTTTCTAGAAAAATAATGGTGCGGGCGGGCAAAAAAAATAAAAAATAAAAACAGGTCTAGGCATCCTGTTATGGCCCAAAATGGTACGATAGGAGCCATGAAGTTAACACACCAGGCTGGTTAAAATTTAAGCAGAATTTTGAACTTTTAATGATACCATCGCATTGAAAGATGGAATAACTGTAACAAATAGGAAGAAAAGGACTGTTTTCAACTGTTCAGGGCAAAATTTGAGCAAATTGCAGTTGATTCTGATTTTTTTTTTGCAAATCAGAAAAAAATGAAGCGGGCAAATCCGTTAACCAAGAAATTCAATTGGTGTGGCCTAAGTTTACATGTAACTGATAGCCTACCTTTAACAATGAAGTTCCAATCTTCATGATCAGAATGATTTCTGATTGTGAAGAGGTAAGATGTGGAGCCTGTTCAGGTTTCCTGTCTACTGCTACTACTAGCCTACTACTACATGTGCTACTACTACTACACTCAAGTGAGAGACACAACCTGCCGTACATGTTTTTTGGAGGCCACATTTTTCTGAAAATGTGGAGAAGGACTGGCAAGAGCAGAGATTGCGCAAGGCGTATAATTACGTGGTCTGCACGCCACGCCTGGCCGTGAGCAGTTGCGTGCATTGTTCGTTGCGCAAGCGGTGAGTGTATGTGCTTAAAACGTATGATCTCCACCTGTGATTTCCACGTAACCGTATGCAGCCTGTACTTGTTACATGTCCTGCTTATGTACGGCACGTACCGGTATGTACTGGGCAGGCTCATTGCCCGGACTGGCTCATACACGGGAGGTAAATCTGCAGCCAAATGCAGAGAAAGTTTTGCATGCATACAAAACGATACACAGTCCGCATGCGCCCAAATCCGTAGGATTCTGTACAGACCACTCTGTACTCACCACTTACTCATGATCATCCCAAAAATTTGCCCACGTTTTTGTACATAGACAGCATGCTGTTGAACGCATTAATCTCCAAGCAGATCATACGGTGGCAAGGCAGTATCCATTGGCCAGAGGAGTGTCCATTAGCCACCGAGGCTAATGGACACTCCTCTGGCCAATGGATACTGCCTTGCCACCGTATGATCTGCTTGGAGATTAGAACGCATGGCAGGTTGTAACTCTCGCTTCACACTGACCCTTTGATCACAACAGTTATCTAATTCTAGCAAAATACATAACTTACCTTGTGGTGTCTCCATAAGTGTTATCTGACAACATTTCCCGTACATGTCAATCACAGGCCAGACTCGCTGGGGCAGCCCAGTAGCTGCCACGCCTGAGTCTTCCCCGTTTACAAAAATGTGGAGATCTCCCGAGGCCATCCTCTGTACCCCCACACAGTCGCCCTCAGCCAGGGTGTCCAGGTCTGCTCCGTAGTTATCACGGATAGAGCGCCCATCTTTCAGGATAGAACACCCTGAAACAACACAAGTCAACCTTCTCCATCATACAAAGTCTCAAAGGGCTCAAAATACTTTTTTCTGCATACCTGCACCAGACAACTTTTACCTGCACCATTATAATTTAGGAAGTGCTAATCATACTGGAAACTGTTCAGACACCATTTTTAATATTGTCATTGTCAATATACAGTAGCTAAATTCCCATACACCTACATGTTACATGTACAATTGTAAACCCAGTGCGGGTACCAGTGCAGGTTAGGTGCAAGTAGACATCAGAAATACCTGCACAGTTTCAAGTTAACCTGCATATGCCTTGACCTATACCAAGGAGGTAAACCTCCTTCCCTACACATGCATAGTCACATTTAAAAACTCACTCAACCTCCATGAACCTTTCTCCACCTGTCCAGTTGCTCTAAGCTCTACCCATAATTTTCAAAACAAACATTTTTCATGCTGAAGCAAAATAAATTTTTTCTAGCATTTTCGTGTTGATAGATATCCTCAATGGTACATGACCATCTTGACAGTTTTTTTTAAAATCCCCTCCCACCCGCAAATAAAACAGCCACATCCAATGACCAAGAAATGAAAAAGAACAGTGTACAAAATACTTTTTTGAACCAGGTTGCCCAGTGGGCAACCTATGGCAAAAATTAGGTTGCCCATCAGAAATTTAGGTTGCCCCACCTATAAGTTACTACTTTCAAATACATAAGCCTTTAACAATATTTCTAACAGCTTTTTAGTTAACTGATACTAGTAATAGCCGTTAATACCTAAAGCATCTGCCGGATACAGTGGTGCAAGCAAAGTGGGCATGATTTGGAGGGGGGGGGGGTCATTAAAATTCAGGTAGCACACTTGGCTACCTAGGTTCAAAAATAGGTTGCCCCAAGTAAAACTTGGTTGCCCGGGGCAACCGGGCAACCAGGTATTTTGCACGCTGAAGAAGTAGCCAACAAATGTAATAATGTATCGTAACCTACCTGAGACAATCCAGGAACCCTCCCTCAGTCCTGTAGCACTGGTGGGAAAATCTAACATGTCTGGATCAATGGTTGTAACACCAACCTCGATAGACCCACTCCACGAGTTCACCTGGAAAGCAAGATACGTGTGAGTTACTACTACTAAGTATAATGGGCTGAAGGGAACTACAAGTAAAAGGTTTGAGAGTGACTGTGTATTTTTTTTTTTGCTGACAAGTTGGCTTCAGTATGGCTCACATTTACAGCCAGGCCAGTAGAGATCCATAAGGCCACACCATTTTAACTTCTTGGTTAACCAATTTTTCTAGAAAAATAATGGAGCGGGCGGGCGAAAGAAATAAAAACAGACCTAGGCATCCTATTAATGCCCAGAATGATACGATAGGAGCCATGAAGTCAACACACCAGGCTGGTTCAAAATTTAAACAACGAATTTTGAACTTTTAATGATACCACTGCATTGAAAGATGGAATAACTGTAACAACTAGGAAGAAAAGGACTGTTTTCAACTGTTTAGGGCAAAATGAGCATTTTGCAGTTGATTCTGAATTTTTTATTTTTTTTATTTTTTGCAAATCAGAAAAAAATGAAGCGGGCGAATCCATTAACCAAGAAATTAAGTTGGTGTGGCCTACATCAAAATAAACATGAGTTTGCTCGATGCAAATGTAAGGCCTTAAAGTTAAAAGACAACTTTTAACTCAGCAATGAAGTACTAGTAAGTTGGTGGGCTGACTATTATTATTATGCTAGTGGCAGTGAACATGGGTTTTGAAGGCTTGTAAGTTGTAGGATACCAGACACACAGGCCCTAGCCCAGTATTTGGGCTTTCTTATGTTAATATATGGGACTCAAGTCAGAACAACGTGGTCACATTAGTCATATACCTGACTTTGAGACCTTGAAAAACACATATCGGCAGGGTAGTCCAACCTCTCAAGTCTCCTTTAAAAAAAATTTTTTAAATCCTACGCAGCGGAACCATGCGAGAATTCTACCTGAACATTGTGAAGTGCCCCCCCTCGGGACAGCTGATGACCGAATGTAAACCTATATCGTCTTCAGTGAGCCAGACAACACAAACACATGGCTGCAAGTCTGTTTTATTTTCTTCAACAAAATAAAAATACCACAACTCTTCTTACCTATAACATCCGAGTCCAAAACAACAACATTTCCCAACAAAAAGACTTCTTTATTTGGTTTCAGACTGCCATCAGTATGGACTAAAAATGGGCTCTCTGCGCCATACCTTTTTAAATTTTTACACCTTAAAAGGTGTAATCAGGCCTTTTAATTAAGGGTTAATGACCCGCCCCGAGGTGAATATGGTGTGATAAAGCCTTGTCAGTTGCTATAAACACCGAATAAAGCACAGTGTGAGCACAGCAAATTATCATATAGCCTATCAAAACTAACACAGTAAAGAGTGACACATTCCTCAGTATATTAACACATATAAACTTTAATAGAACATGTGTTCCATATGGAGTCACATAAGGACACAGAGGAAGGGTCGTGTTCTATTTGGGTCATTGGCAGGGAACAGGTGTTTTTATTTTGGGATTTTTTGGAACAACATGGTGTTCTTTTTGGGTCACCCGAGGTCATATCATGCGTGTGATTATTCATTATTATTGCTTGGATTGTTTAATGTATGGATGGGGATGAATAATGACCCGGTTTTGACTCTATCTGTGACATTACAGCATCATAAGGAATGTGGAATGGAGCTTTTTGATTGGTCAATGTCACCCAGCTTTATGATAATACATTATAAATCTATTTGTAATTGATCATAGTCAGCGCCCAAAATCAATGTGATTCAAGCCTCATGATTTAATGTAATTCGTAATCAGCTCTGAACATTTATGTTATCTGCAATTGGTGGAAAAAATTTTTCACAATTCATAATCACTGTAGCCGACGTCGGCGACATGTCTTCTTGAGTTATGCATCATCATCGTGCCAGCCTGGTAGGACCAATTCACAGGTCTACAACTACAAGTTTTTAAAAACCATTTCCAAGTTGCCAAATACTCCAACTTCATCTCATCATCTCCGTTACTGCCTAGCCCTACCATGTAGGATTATTGGCAGCCGTTACGCATTGATTAGTTACAATTGTGACCCAGTACATAAAAACAAAGGTAAAACAAGGATAAATGAGAAGGGAACATAAGACAACTGATTCTATGTGTGCTAAAGACGGGACAAGTGCATTAGTGCGTTAATAATATTTACATATATACAAGACATGATGGGGTGGCTCAATGCAGCAGGGTCCTCGCCAGTTCAGATTTGAACTGGGCAAGAGACCCCGCCTCCGCCGCACCAGGCTCGAGTTCATTCCATTCCCTGATGGTGCGGGGGAAGAACGAGAGCCTGTAGAAGTTGGTTCTGCTCGCGATGGCCTGCAATGTTTGAGTGTGATTGATGCAGCGGGAGCATCGAGCCACCGGGACAATCCTGGTTGAGTGTGGGACGGAGACAGCATTATGTATGATCTTATAAAGCATGACCTGGCGGGCGATCTTCCGGCTTCCGATCTTCCGAACTTCAATTCTGAAGTTTAAGTTTTGAAGGATTAGCCTATGGTGGCTATATATGTGAGTGGCTTCTGATTACCAACAATGCAAAAGATTCTGTCAAGACAATAGTGGAAAAAATTCTACTATTGACAGGATGATCCTGTCAATAGTGGGCAAATGTGTAGTGACAGGACAATCCTGACAATACTGAAAATACTGCATTTCCTTCTGTTGACAGGATGATCCTGTCAAATTAAATATATCATCCTGTCAACAGTGCAAGTTCTTCTTCTTCTTCTTCAGTACTCTCTAACCACCCCTACTGGGGTATCACTGAGAGGGGGGGGGGTGCGACGGACTATGGCTGCGTGGCCAGAAGCCCGGCCTTGAAGGCCTCCACTGTCTGGGCTTTTACAAGCTGGCCCGGTAACTTGTTCCACTCATTTATCGTTCTTGGAAAAAAAGAAAATCTAAAACAGTCTGTTTTGGCAGGTATTGCTTGATACTTATATTCATGACTTCCTCTGGTACGCCTATGGGCAGGTTTGAGGTATTGTTCCATTTGAATATTAATATGTCCATGAGCAATTTTATATAAAGATATTATAAGTTATTAATATCATTGATAATTAATTAATAATAAACAATATTAATATTATTAAGATATTATATAAGTTCTTCCACTATTGACAGGACCATTCTGTCAATAGCCTTAGGCTTAACATACATGTGTATATAGCCTCAGGCGGGAATTTCGAGCCCTGTTCTTATCGTGATCTGGACCGTGGCAAATGTTTTATCACGTTTGCGATTCTTATAATGATATAAATGTATTGACCTTCCGAAGTAAACATATTCTGATGACATTGGCTAGTGGCTGATCAACCTGTTCAAATTCCTGATGCGGGTGCAGAATTTTATTTTTAAAAGAAGGTTTTATATGTATGTACTGTCTTCCGCAACGCAACGCAACATAATTTTTGTGCCCAACTACAACTGACCTTCCGATCCAGCCGAACTTCAAAAATCTCCCCATCACGCAGGGGCTGTCTGCCGAACACCAGCCCGTTGTTGAACTCCTGTGTGGGCTGCTGCCGCTCCGCTCTCCGCCCGTTGTTGCCGACAGACACCAGAGCACCAACTCTGGGATGGAACGCCGCCGCCATCTTAGAAACACACGGTCAGTCTACTACCGGAATTTATTAGAATACATCAGAATACTGAGAAGAGGAGTGAAGTCTACCAACATGCCTTTGATGGGTTAAACATCAGGTTACTGTATTTTTGCCTAAAATATCATCAACCCATAAAAGGCAAATGTCCCAGGGAACAAGAAATTACTTGGAATTACTGGGCAATTCCGTCGTCTCGTCGCATTTGTAATCCACAATATGATTTTTAAAAAACCAGGACATACATGTAGCGACTGACTGGGTCACAACCGGGCTTACACTCAGTAAATTATATTGTTTTGATGTTCTCTATGTTATGTATGGGTTATTCTATTACTAAGTACAGCAACCGAAATAATAGTCACCAAGGCACAGTGATTGCACCCTCCATTCTGGGCATTTTTAGTTCTTCCAAAAATATGTTTACCCGAAACAGAGGTTGCTTTGGACGAAGTACGGCAGATTTTGCGACATAAATTGACACAGTTTAAAGCAGCGTGGTCAACTTTACGCTCCAGAAAAAAATACTATAGTAGAGTAGATTTGCATGAATATGTATGAAAATATCTGATGAATGTCGGTAAATGAGGAAGAAATCGCTTTTCGGTGGAGACTTTTATTTCTGTTACATTTACGACACTATGGATGGCTTGCCCATTTTGCGGCAGGTGCCTGTGCTGTCCTTCACACCAGGCCACGTCTCCGTAAGTTGTCGGACGCGTTGTTGCAGTTTTCAGCTCGGTATAACAGACAAAATGGGGTAAAATGTGGATCCACAACAGGTTAAAGAGCGTCCCCGGCGTGTTTTCCAGCACCTGGGCGAGGAGAATGCTGGCTATTTTGCTGGCGGTCAGTGTGGTCATCTGGTACATAGGGCCTTCAATTTTCGATATGGGACGGCGAGCTTGGAACAAGCCGGATCTTCTGTCGACCTGTTTAAACGACAAACTAACACCATGGCTGCATGCTGCTCAGGAGTTGGATGCAGTGGTTACTCAGGGGAACGTGAAGGCAGCCCAGCTTCCTTTCGTGGGGAACGGCAAGATTGGGTTCGTGCCCGGGGAGGGACTGTTCATTGCTACCCCGGACAGGGACAACCCTCAGTACTCATCTCTCACATTGAAGGTGCCCTATGACCCCTCCATACAGGTGGCTATAGAAACTCTCACCACCAGGAAAGAGTCTTCAGTATTAGACTACAAACACGGCGTGTTCCATAAATATACGTGCTACAAGAAGTCTGAAACTGACTCGTTGTTGATGGAGCTAAAGGTAGCTTCACATCGAACAAAGCCAAGCCTGCTAGTCCAGGAGCTTCGCGTAGAAAACCCGACAACGACACCACTGCTGGTCAGTGTGAAGCAGTCCAGCTCTGTCAGTTCCAACTCCCTGTCCTTACAAACCCTCACAGTCATGTTTGACGAGAAGAACCCACCTAAAGAGTACATCCTTCTGCGCGGCACTATCACCACTGTGGACAGCAGGGTCATCATGTTTGCCATGGCGACCCCAAAGGTGTCTGAGGTCTTGAATGTGGATGAGAAGAGCGCTTTCACCTTTACCTTTGTCACCGCTGTCCACTACAGTGAACCTGCACCACACGTGGAACAGGACAAGTTGGAGAGAGTTACTGAACTTGCCAAAAATGACATCAAGGAGTATTTTCTAGCTGGCCCAGAGAACAGCAACCTTTTAGTCCAGCACAAGTCAGCTTGGAGTAAAGTCTGGGCGTCTGGACTTCATGTTGACCCCAGGAAGGTCCTGCACATCCCCCATCCTTCCATTGTTAACTCTAGTATGTACTACGTCCTGTCTTCTGTCCAGGCTCCTCTCCATCTAGATGGAATTGATCTGGCGAAGAGGAAACAACTTGAACAGCTATTATGGAAGCAGGAGAACTGTTTCTCCGGCCATCCAACTACGCACGCCAACAACTTGTGGCCGAGTGTGAAGCAGGAGGCGGACATTGCTGAGCTGTCCCACCTGTGGCAGCTGACGCTGTCCAAGCGGGGCTGTGCACCTCTGGTAGCAGCAGGGGCTGATGGTAAGTGATGGGAGGCTTACGTGAACATTTACTAGTACATGTATGTCATACCTGGGCAGTTATAACAGTCGATATGGGTTTTCTGTCTCAGGTGATACCAACTGTATCACACAGGTTCTATTTGGTTATCACAAAGAATCTAATTACCTTTGCCAAGAACGTTTCAGAGGTGTCTCTGTCTGTGTGTCTGTCTGTCTGTCTGTAAACACGATCTGGACATACTAGGCCAGCTAGGGTCACAAAAGTTCGATGATAGGTAGCTCAGTACTAGCTCTTGTGCTGGGGAAGAAGTGATGAGAGTTTGGGCCCCCTAGTGGCTTGCTCTGGAACTGCAGAGGCATTTGATTAATAAAGATTCAAAAGAGGATAACTCAAGAACTGGTTGATGGATTGTCATAGTTTTTGGAATGTAGATAATTATGTGACAGTTATGCAAATCTGGTTGCATAATTTATGAAGAAATTCTTTAAATAAGCTGCATTACATGCTAGGAATGTTCAAGCTTGTGACCAATGTAATTGAGATATAGTATGTAAATAAAGACATAATTTGCATAATTGATGAGGAAATGTTATAACTTATAGTTCAATAATATTAATGCCTGGATTTTCAGACTTGGGGGTATTTGAAAGTTAAGCGAAGGTGAACATCATTAAACATTCCTTTTTCAAATAAGGACCTTATTCGCATAATTTAGTAGGAAATGCTAGAAATTAGTAGAATGGCTTTCTTTGTCAAGATAAAAATCTTTTGGTGGAGAATATGATCAATTGATATAGGACAAGGTCATGCAAATGAGGATTCTATTTGCATAATCAGGGGGGATAATTCATCAGGGGATCAGTCATAGTGATTAACATCATTTGGCATAGGTATCACTCAAGTCGTGGAATCCTAGTTACATGTACCTTCGCCAAGAAGGTTATGTTTTCAGGGGCGTTCATGTTTCTGTGTGTGTTTGTGTGTGTGTGTGTGTGTGTGTGTGTGTGTCTGTGTCTGTGTGTGTGTGTGTGTGTGTGTGTGTGTGTGTGTGTGTGTGTGTGTGTGTGTGTGTGTGTGTGTGTGTGTGTGTGTGTGTGTGTGTGTGTGTGTGTGTGTGTGTGTGTGTGTCTGTGTGTGTGTGTCTGTGTGTGTGTGTGTCTGTGTGTGTGTGTGTGTGTGTTTGTGTGTGTGTGTGTGTGTGTGTGTGTGTGTGTCTGTGTGTGTGTGTGTGTGTGTGTGTGTGTCTGTGTTTGTTTGTAAACACAATAGGTCAAGAAGGCTTTGATGGATTGTCTTGATATTTGGTAGGTGGGTAGGTCTTGATGAGTCCTCAAAATGATTAGATTTTGGGATCCCTGGCGGCTTGTCATGGTACTGCAGCAGAACTTCCGGTTTTGATATCTCATGATCCCACATGCTAGAGTCACAAAATTTGGATGGTAGCTAAGTATATGTCCTACTAGCTGTAGCTCTTGTGCTGGGGATGAAGTGACAGGAGTTTGAGCCCCCTAGCTGCTTGCTCTGGAACTGCTGGGGCATTCGTTGAAAACTGTTTAAAGGAGGATAACTCAAGAACCGATTGATGGATTATCGTGATTTTTGGTTTCTAGGTACACTACAGTATAATTTTATAATTCCATAATGTCTCTACACATCACAGTCATGGATGACCTGGATTTTTTTTTGCATATCAATTCCATGGTAAGAATTAGTAACATAGTATGATGAGTGATGGAGCTGATTTTTTGGGGGTACACCCCAGTTTATTTTGGGTCTCAACTTGCTTAGCTGCTCACTCAATTTTGCAAGTCTAGCAACCATTTCTTTCAGTAAATAATGCTGAAGCAAAAACACTATCGTATGTACGGGAATGAAGGATATCCCTCTAGCTACAAAAGCAACAGAATTTTTAGGGGAGAAGGAAAAATGTTGACTTAATGGCTCCTATCATAACATTTCAGGCTATCATTGAATGCCTTGGCCTGTTCATATTTTTTTTCTGAAAAAATCCAAGGACTAACAAATTAAATTGGTGTGGCCTCAGTGCTCAAATTTGAAAAGGGACCAAATAAACGACATATACCCTGGTCTGTCTTGCAGGTATGCTGGAGGCAATGATCCTTAGCTTTGGAGGGTTACAAATTACCCGAGACCATCTGGCCTTCAACGGCGACCCTGACATCCTGCGCAGCAACATCGCCTTCCGCGACATCCGCTACAACAACAGTCACATCAACCTGACTATCCTGATGGAGGAGGATGGCCAGGCAACTATGCATGTTTCTGTGGACAGCCCTAGTAATGCTGTGTTGTATGCATGTGAGGCAGGCTGTCTGAGTGAGCCTGTGTCTCTAACTTCTACAATTACAGAGTTCTCAGTGAAGGTGACCAAACCGCTTACATCCCTGCTGTACATAGCACCCAGTAGACGCCATCTTCTTGACATTAAGAGAACCATTCATGTGAAAGAAGTTATAACACATCTTGATCATCTTGAAAATTTGTCTGGTCCCAAAACAGGTCTGCCTCCAGTGTTCTGGGTCAGCATTGCTTTTCTGATTGGACTCTTCCACCTCTTTTTGATTAAACTGATCTACAATGAAGTTTGTGGTGCAGGCGCAGCTCGAACTAGTACTAAATATAGTGCATAAAACATTACCATGGGATTACTGTTTGTTTAGATCAGTATTTACTGAGTGGAACATTTGAATGTTAGAAAGGCACAGTTTACTCCACTTTGTTTTCTCAATGCCAATTGATGCTTTTCTGTAATGAAAAAGAGTTAGTGCAAAAATGCAAGTTTTTGCAATTTTTCCAGAATGAGATTGTAGAATTTCAAGAAAGCAGGCAAAGCAATGTATTCCTTTAATCAGATATGCAAGCACAAATGTAACTTTGCCTCAAGACTGGTAGATTGGGCAATGGTGATAGACTATCATATGGTGTAAACTCCAGAAGGAAAGTAAGAATTGAGAATTTTTCATTAGCTGTTGTACATCTCATTTTCACACACAATGGTACTAGTTACCTTCGCCAAGAAGGTTATGTTTTCAGGGGCGTTCGTGTATGTGTGTGTGTGTGTGTGTGTCTGTCTGTCTGTCTGTCTGTCAACACGATAACTAGAGAAGGTCTTGATGGATTGTCTTGATACTTGGTAGGTGGGTAGGTCTTGATGAGACCTCAAAATGATTAGATTTTGGGCCACCTGGCGGCTTGTCATGGTACTGCAGCAGAACTTCCGGTTTTGATATCTCATGATCCAGACATGCTAGGGTGACGAAATTTAGATGGTAGATAGCTCTTGTGCTGGGGATAAAGTGACATGAGTTTGAGCCCCCTAGTTGCTTGCTCTAGAACTGCAGGGGGGTTTAATGGACAAATGTATAAAGGGGGATAACTCAAGAACCGATGGATGGATCATCGTGATTTTTGGTATGTTGGTAGCTTGAGTGATGCTTGACATAATGATATTACAATTATAGATGTAATTTGCATAATTAATGAGGAAATTCAATTTATCAGCTGCATTCCATAATAGGAAGTTCGAGCTTGTGACATATGTTATTAAGAATGAGAGAAACACAGGTAGATATCAATTATGCAAATGAAGACTTAATTTGCATAATTAATGAGAAAATATTATAATTGCATAGTGGTAACTGCCTGGAATTTTATACTTGGGGTGTTTGAAAGTTAAGTTAAGGTGAACATAATTAAACATAACTTATTCAAATAAGGACCTCATTTGCATAATTTATGAGAAAATTTCATCATGGCATTCTTTGTTAAGATAAGACTGTCTTTTGGTGGAGAATATGATCAACAGATATAATTCATGCAATTGAGGATCCTATTTGCATAATTAGGGGGATTAATATATAATTTCTTAATCATAAAAGCTAACATCATTTGGCGAAGGTATGAGATCGTGGAACTCTAGTTCTGTATAATTTAGGTCTAGAAAGCTAAAACACGTGTAAATGTAAATGACATATACAGGAAAAAATGCATGCATTTGGCTACATTGTATATAAATCCTGTAGGTTGTAAAATTTCCAGCTGTTAGTAAGTACATTGTAACTGATTAAATTTATGCTACCTGGAAGTCATGCTTACCACAACCCAAAGGCATTGATCAAAATACATAGTGAGGGAGAAAGTTTTTTGTATTTAAAGCGGCACTTGAAAATGAAATATTGTGATGTAATCATCCTATCAAACATTAATTTGTCAGCACATTGAATATTGAGTTTTATGTAAGAAAGAAATGTCAGCCACTCAGACATGTGTCATGCAGGATAACTCACTGCCATACTGCACACATTTCAGCTCGGAAAACAAGATCTAGACCTTCATTTCAGCACGTTCCAATGTGATTGGAGAGATGTGCTGTGGGATACATGCCAGGACGCAAACTACTTGTTTTAGGTCTTGCACAAAACTTACACGAACAAAGTTGGCCCAAAAATTACTAGTATTTCTGCTGCATCCAGCTTGTTTTGACCAGGTAGTAAACATTTCTCACTAACTGGTATTAACATTAAATTATCCCACAATTCTTTCATCTTCATGTCCCTGATTTGGTGTCCTTTGGACATCAAAAGTTTTTAAAGTGCAATTGGATACTGTATGTTAGTAGGGTTGTAATAGAAAATGAAAATGTGTGGTTGTGAGTTTGTTCTTTAATTGGTGATTGTGTGTTCCATGGCAAATATTTGTAAGTGGTTTAGGCTTATATTAGGTGCAGTGTAAGGTTTTGTATTTCTGCTGCATGGAGAACTTTTCTATGCATCATGAACAGATTCATCACTGTTTAGCACATATCCTTGTTTTTTAATCGTCTGTCACCTTACTCAGGGCGATACTGACTGGTTTACTTTGCACAGCAGCTAGGACTGGAGACTGAAATCACTTGTATTTCCCAGCTGAAAATACACTGGTACTGGGTGCATTGCACAGCAAAGATACAGAGCTTTTATGATCTATTGTAGAGTTACTATTTGAGTACCACACAACTCCAACACCTTGCAGAGAGCTGACCAGCATTCTCTCATGTGATTGACAGTTGACCCGGATCACTGGAATACACAGAACTGAAGAGGACCAAGCTGGAAGTAGGAATAGAACTTGTTGAAGTTAGAACCAGTCAGTCTTGTCCTGAAAAAGGTGACAGACGGTTCACTGAAATGCCATTTCAATAATCCACATGTTCTGCTATGGTACCAACCAGGTTGAATGCCAGTGATGAGTCATAAGTGCTAATGTCAGGCAGATGCATGTATGATTACATGTATGTACATAATGTAGACATGGTTGTTCTAGGTGAGGTGTTGATATTCTATGTTTTGGTCTAATCTAGCAAATGGTGTTTTTGTATATATGTTTGTGTACAATGTTAATTTTTTTTATATCATAATGATCTGTAAAATGTCTACAGCATATTGATCTGTACACAGTAGGAATTACATCTTTTCACTCTGTTGAACAGTCATGTAGTCTTAATGACTGTAAGTACACTGGTGAATTAATGTGAGGGTAATGAATACATATGTAGCATAGTGAAACTGTATTTCTCATGATTGTTTTTGTACAATTATCTGAAGTCCAGTCTTCTTACTTCTGCCAAGCAGGTATGTTTTAAAGGTTCCCAATTACAGTTTTTGTTATTGGTGTGTAGACCTGAATGGATTTTCTCAATTTTTGGCCTCAAATTAGGTCTCGGTCTAATAAAAGGTTTCGGTACCCTTTAGGAGCTTTCTTGTTTTTCCATTGTTGTATTTTCTTTGTGAAGATTAGGCCACACCAGTTTGATTTATTGTTTCTCAGATTTTTTCATAAAAAATATGAAGCGACAGCAAAAAAAAAAAATACACATAAAAACAGGTCAAAATGACCAGAAAAAAATGAAGAGGCGAATCCGAGAACCAACAAATTAAATTGGTGTGGCCTTATAAAAGAACTACAGCTCCACAAGCCCAGCCCAATGTCAATATTATTGTGGGTGAGTGAATGTAGCTATGTTAAGTATGTCCTTGTTCGCATACTTTAATATGTTGTTTCGTTCTGGACGTATGTGCTTTAAAAATTTTGCCAGGAACTCCCCGCAGTTCCAGAACAAGCTGCAAGGGGGACCAAACCCACAGACCATCGTATATCTAGGACCAAAGATACAAAAACTGTTCTGCTGCAGCACCAAAGCCAGCCACCAGGAAGTCCACAGTTGACCGTGACCTTTGTCTTCCTGAGACCATATTGGCAGAACGTTATGCACCTGTGTGGAACTTAAAATTTTTTTTAAGGGTATATTTTTATTTCCTCATTGGATGTTTGGTCAACATTGCATCAGACTGTCATGCTGACAACAAATATGCGGAAATGTAGGCACGCAAACACAACTCCATTTTTTGTGGAGATGCATCTAAAAGCATTTAAGCGATCAATACATGTAGCTATTCTTTTAAGCTGTTTGTTTGGTTGGGGTTGATAGATGATATACAAATGTATTAAAAGTCGGGGTTGATAGGAGAGGATGTAAGAGTTGGGGTTCACACGCACACACACAATATCAAGGTACAATTTTCCCTTTGCTTGAATGCATGCATGACTCCATCCGTCTTCTATATTTCTGCAAGTATCAGTACCTCTAAATAAAGCAGCCTTTGAAAGACAAAAGTCCAGTCCTTGACAACACCAACAAATGACCTTTATTGCACTTTCATATGCCTTCTTGAGCTTTCAAGTCATTAATTTATGTATAGCATACCTGTATATATAAACATAGGACTACACTAAGTTCATAATGGACTCTTTTTCCATTTAACCATAATGTCATTTTGTATATTATCTACAACATCCGGTCTCCTGTAACACTTAACTTTTCATAACTGTTGTGTTTACAAATTACAGCCAATAGATCAATCTGATCTGACACAAACAAAACAATCACCCAGTAATATGACCTTTACTGAAGTATAAACCTGTACAACACCTCTACAGAATTGGCCAAAAAGACAGTTATCATGCCAGTGGTAACCAGTTAGGGGAGCTAGTACAGTTTGCCTTTCTATTTGGCCAATTTCTTTTTCCAGCCACCTCTAAAGCACTAGGCACATAAGGATGTTCATATTAATCATAATGGTAAATTTAATATACAAGTCATGTAGTACTGGGCAAGTGTGGTTGTTATTGCATATTTACAAAAGACATGCAGAACCAGGTGTTCAATAAAAAGATCATAATAAATACTTAATAAGTTAAACCTACTGTAGTGCAACTTTGGACTGATTAAAACCTCCTTGGATTAATGAACTAACTTTAAAATGTAGGTGTTCCCTGAACTCATGGAATCCTTTGCACATAAAAATACCTCATTGCATCTTTTGTGTTTACTGCTGGTACATGTAAAAGTACTACATGCATATATTACTTACGAATATTCACCATGCTGGTTTACTATGTAGCAACACCAAAATGAACAAATAAATAAAATCTTTGTCTAATCCATGTCAGTGTTCATGTCATTTTGATTCCCTGGAGACTTTTCCACATTCCGTTGCCTTAAAACAGCTTGGCATTCTGAAATTATCTCTTCCACATCAATAATTTCTTCACTTTCCAAATGTTTAATGTCTGGCTTCTCCATGCTGCTACCAGCTGCTTCACTGGATGTTTTTGCGTCATGGTCATCTGACAAATCTGACCTGAGATCATGACACTCAGTGGTACTGCTGGTAGCAAGGGTTTCACCTGTGGTGGGGATAAAGTCAGAGCTATCCTCGGGCCCCTCCATACTCCGACTTTTATCTGTAGCAGGTATCAAGATAGAATCAGATTCACCCTTATCCTCCCTATGACTCCCATCTGTGGTAGAGTCATGGCTATCTGCCGTTTTGTACTGCACCTGCATCTCTTCAGGAGGTGATTTTGACTCTGCCTCTGCCACATCCCCCTCTGCCCCTCCCCCA